GTCTTTCAGTCCCATTCCTTCCAGTTCCTAGATGTGTTCCCCTGGGAGCTGTCACTGCTGAGACCCAGCAGTCTATTTGGGTAGGAACAGTATTACAGATGACTTTATCACGACAGGTGTACTCCATTGTTTCTTGAGACAGATGGATGCCAACAACACCAACAACTGACCACCATGTTTAAAAAGAAGCTCCATCTTTGAAAGTCTCCATGCAGACTGTCTCGCCAGTGTGGTGCATGCTCTAGTTATCTCCCGCTTGGACTACTGCAATGCGCTCTACGTGGGGCTACCTTTGAAGGTAACCCGGAAACTGCAACTAATCCAGAATGCAGCAACTAGACTGGTGACTGAGAGTGGCTGCTGAGACCATATAACACCGGTCCTGAAAGACCTACTGGTACATTGGCTCCCAGTATGTTTCTGAGCACAATTCAAAGTGTTGGTGCTGACCTTTAAAGCCCTAAACAGCCTCAGTCCAGTATACCTGAAGGAGCATCTCCAACCCCATCGTTCGGCCCAGACACTGAGATCCAGTGCCAAGGGCCTTCTGGCGGTTCCCTCCCTGCGAGAAGTGAGGTTACAGGGAGCCAGGCAGAGGGCCTTCTTGGTGGTGGCGCCTGCCCTGTGGAATGCCCTCCCATCAGATGTCAAGGATATAAACAACTATCTGACTTTCAGAAGACATCTGATGGCAACCCTGTTTAGTGAAGTTTTTAAGGATTGATGTTCTATCATGTTTTTATATTCTTTTGGTAGCCACCCTGAGTGGCTTGGGAAACCCAGCCAGATGGGTGGGGTAATGATGATGATGATTATGATGATGATGCCCCTGTAGTCCCCACCTAGCAAGAGAAATTTGGTACAACAATCATGTATGCCAACAACAGAATCTAGTTCCAATTGTCAACAAGCAGGTAAAAAGGTAAAAGGTAAAGGGACCCCTGACCATTAGGTCCAGTTGTGACTGACTCTGGGGTTGCGGCGCTCATCTCACTTTACTGGCCGAGGGAGCCGGCGTACAACTTCCGGGTCATGTGGCTAGCATGACTAAACCGCTTGTGGTGAACCAGAGCAGTGCATGGAAACACCGTTTACCTTCCCGCCAGAGCGGTACCTATTTATCTACTTGCACTTTGACGTGCTTTCGAACTGCTAGGTTGGCAGGAGCAGGGACCGAGCAACAGGAGCTCACCCCATTGCGCGGATTCGAACCACCAACCTTCTGATCAGTAAGTGCTAGGCTCTGTGGTTTAACCCCCAGCGCCACCCGCATCCCCAACAACCAGGTACAAACAGTCAAATCCAACATTCACCTTAGCCGGAGGTCTCTAGCAAGGAAGATGGTGGAATTTTCGCTGGGCATTGTGACACCCCACCACCTGATCGCAAGCCTATTTTGGCGGTGTACCAACAGCCTATGTGGACACAGCTGAGATCAGGTTGTCCTATCTCATCTGCCCAGGTGTTGATGATGCAGGTCAACACCCTTGTTGTTGCCAACTGACATGGATAGCCTCTACATATATGCATCTGCATGTGCTGGTTAGCAAACGCAAGCATGGATTTACTCATCCGATCAATAAACATTATACGCTTGGCATATAAGTATGGCTCAGGTGGGGCATTAAGTAGTACTGATGAGAGGAAAACTGCCTTCAAACATCTCAGTGATTTGCCAGCGGGACATGGATTCAGGTATGCTTTTGCATGTTAAGAAGAGGGAGGTTGCCATATTTCTGAACGAAAGAGATTCTGCGTCCTTTATAACAGCAAGTTCTGCAGAAATCCAATGGGTGCAGATTTCCTTATTGGGAAAATGTTCACCTGTTACATTTTGGCTGGTTGGGCAGCTGCTAAAGTTATGGAAATCTCTGTGCATCAGAAAGGTGGCAATCCAAGTTAAGATGATATCTGGGAATTAGCTGCTGCTTTGATGGATGTCGTTCTCTGTGCTAATATTAAGCAAATTCGTAACTTTGGGTTTTGTGATACCAGGAGCAAAATGAGATCCAGCAATCTTGGAGGGCAGGGCAGGGGAGTCTGTCATGCAAATAGGTACAACTGTCAGGTAAGTTCAGGTAATAGTAAGAATTCAACATGCTTAACAAGCTAAGTGATGAAACATGGACTGTACGTGGGTGACATGCTTTGGAAGTCTAAATCTTCCCCACTCCAGCTATCAGCCCAGTGGCTCCTGTGCCCAATTTGACAAGCTTGGGGTGGAGGGGAAGAAAACTGCTGCCATTCAAACTGCTGCTAAGCCTGCAAACCATCTTAACCGTGAGATTAAGAGCCTCCTGCTCCACCAGTTGAGCTACGCTTACTCCCAAGTAGTGAATTTGGAGACTTCTGTCAGAAATAAAAACAAGGACAGGGATTGCCACAATTCATGCATTTTCCTGAGATCAGTAACAGAAGTCACGAAATACGAGCAGTACTTTAAAAAATTATTTTTTTTACGGTAAGAACATCACATAACTGTGTTATTTTCTGCACTGTTGCTGGTGTTTTTCTTCCATTGAAATGCACTGACATTAATTATGTAATTAACGATATAATTAATTGTGTTCATATTGAAGGAGTCATTGTTTTGTTTTTGTTTTATTATGTATTTTGTGTTCTCACTGTGTTGTATTTTTACGTGGTGAACCAACCTGTGATCTTCAGATGAAGGGCAAATTTTACAAATTTTAATGATGATGATGATTTAGGTTTTAGCAGAAGTCAAACTGTAGCACAATTGAAACAGTGCTGACAAAGAGGAATACAGGACAGGATTGAAATCATGGCCTCCTTGCATCCCGAGAAACTACACACAGGATTGCAATCATGCTCTTCCTAATGAATTGGCTGTAATGCTATGTTGTGTGTTTGTGTGTGTATTCAACACAACTGCCTACATGTTGAATTTCTCTTCAAAGGCATGGCTATGAGCTCCTGCACTTCACAGTTTACCACTTTGTTGTTGTTGTTGTTTAGTCATTTAGTCGTGTCCGACTCTTCGTGACCCCATGGACCAGAGCACGCCAGGCACTCCTGTCTTCCACTGCCTCTCGCAGTTTGGTCAAACTCATGCTGGTAGCTTCGAGAACACTGTCCAACCATCTCGTCCTCTGTCGTCCCCTTCTCCTTGTGCCCTCCATCTTTCCCAACATCAGGGTTTTTTCTAGGGAGTCTTCTCTTCTCATGAGGTGGCCAAAGTATTGGAGTCTCAGCTTCAGGATCTGTCCTTCCAGTTAGCACTCATTGAGCTGATTTCCTTAAGAATGGTTAGGTTTGATCTTCTTGCAGTCCATGGTACACCACTGCAAAAAAGAACTCACCTCATCTTGAAAAGTGATAGTAAGGGCACCTCAAGAGTCAGGCAATGATTCTGAAGGGAAGATTGGGGCGTGCTTGGGAAACATCCACCCCCTGCTGTCTGCATGCACCAATGACTGCTTCCATTTTGCTCTCGTTTCCCCCATTCGTTTTGCTCCACACCAAACGTCAGACAAGGTGCAGGCTGCTTGTTTCAAATGCCAGCCTCCCAGCAGAGAGGCAGACTACTTGCACCGTGTACATTGCAGCTGCTTACTTGAGTCCCCAACATTTCTAGCTAAAAGATCTCTTGCAGAAGGTCTCAGAAAGGTGACAAACAATTCAGTGCAGGTGGGCTGTTAAGACCATAGGTCTGACCAGGTATAAGGTATTTGTCTTTCCCAGCAAATCTTGCTTCTAGTTTAGAGCCCAAATACCGGGGTGAGGGTGCCAGAAGGTGGCTGCCTAGATTTGCCTTTCTAATCTATTTGAAGAAATAATAGAAAAGGTGAGTTGGAATACAACCTCCAACCCGCCTGCCTATGCCAGCAGCAAGAACTGGCAAGAATTATTTTGCCAAACCTGCCCCCATCCCAAAGGAGGATAACTATCTCACCTGGGCATATGTTGAACAGTCAATAACTGCTTTAAATGCCATGGCTTCCTCTGGAAGAACGCTGGGAGGGCTCACACTTTACTAAATGTATATTTCTCCAGAAAAGACGGTTGTGCGGTTCAGAGGCAACTCTCAGTGGTATAACCAGGTAACAGAAAACAGTCCGGGTTTAGCAAAGTTTAGTTTAATTCGCTCAAAAAGAAGCTACGACCTTGTAAGGTCACTGTAAAAGTAAAGGGACCCCTGACTATTAGGTCCAGTTGTGACCAACTCTGGGGTTGCGGCGCTCATCTTGCTTTATTGGCTGAGGGAGCCGGCGTACAGCTTCCGGGTCACGTGGCCAGCATGACTAAGCCGCTTCTGACGAACCAGAGCAGCACACGGAAACGCTGTTTACCTTCCCGCTGTAGCGGTACCTATTTATCTACTTGCACTTTGACGTGCTTTCAACTGCTAGGTTGGCAGGAGCAGGGACCGAGCAACAGGCGCTCACCCCGTTGCGGGGATTCGAACCGCCAACCTTCTGATCGGCAAGCCCTAGGCTCTGTGGTTTAACCCACAGCCCCGCCCGCATCCCTAAGGTCATTGTAGAAGAAGTGAAATCTGAGCTCTATAGCAGCTCGAATTTTGTAACCTTTAACTTTGCTCACTTGAAAAGGCGATGTGACTCTCCAGACGTCATTGAACTCCAGCACCCATCATCCTTGATTGCTGGCAACATGGGCTGGGGCTGGTGAGAGTTGGAGTCGTATCACATCTTGAGAGCCACAGATTCCCCATCGCTGTTTTTACAGGTTGATTATAAGGCTTTTCAGAGATGAACAGAGATCTACCTAGACTGGAGCTCAGCTTTAGCAGAATATATCAAATTGCAAGATTTGCACAAAGCATGGATTTAAAGGAGCTGCTTAGGTGTCGCGTTGCTTCTTTCAATTATGTTGCACGCATTGCAAAGGACTCTCCTTTGATCTGAGAATCTCAGCCTCCATCTTCTTTTGCAGCTTCCAGACCTTCTTCTCTGTTTGTCATTGCACTGACTATCTTGGCCCTGCAATGGCCGAAGGGAACAACGGCCTTTCCCACAATGCCCCTCTCCAGCCTGTTTGCCAACGCAGTTATAAGGGCACAGCATCTTCACCTGCTTGCAGCTGATACCTTCAAGGAGTTTGTGAGTAATAGGACTCAGCTATACAGCTGCAAATAAAACGTTTTGAACGTGTTGGAAAGTGCAATATACAAATGTGACAGTAGATGGCGACAGCGAGCTATGCCAAATTCTGTGTCTTTTTCAAAACGTTTTTTAAAAAAGCATTTTCACAGTGTTTTTTTATATGTGTGTAGATTCCACCATAGTGTACCATTCAGAAATGCATCCATTTGGTTTCTATATCATCATTCCTTCTGACAGCGGCTGAGTGACGCTCAGGCATAATTATAACTTGGCTTGGCAGCCCCTTATCCAGCCTCTACTTCACCTTTGCTCCTGGCTAAACAGTGGATGGAGGAAGCAACCCTCGTAGCATTTTGTGGCTTTTGTTTTTTGTTTGTTTGTTTGTTTACAGGAACGTTCCTACATCTCAGAAGCCCAGCGGTACTCCAACAAAAACTCTCCGTCTTCGTACTGTTATTCCGAAACCATCCCTGCGCCCACAGGGAAGGACGATGCCCAGCAAAGAACAGTAGGTTGCCTCCCTTGTTGCCTTATTTTATGGAATTAGCAAAACAACAACAAACCTATGGTTACGTGAAACATACTCAATAAACACACAAGACGTAACCGGCTGCACTTTTGAATAAATAAAGGTATGCTATTCATTGTATCAAATTGTAGATTTCAACGAAAAAAGCAGAAGACCCAGTGGGTCAGTTCATTCTATAGTCCGTTCATGCCTAAGGTCCATACATGTATAAGTGTCTATTCCACCTGTCTGTTCATAGAGTCCAATAATCCACATGAAGGGTTGTTACAGTTCCACAGAATCCTTTCACAGAGTCTAAAATTAATTTAAATAAATCCATCCTGGTTTGAAATGCAGAATACTTGGGAGTAGGAACAAAACCTAGACCTAGATTTAATACTCGAGATTCCTCTGGTTTTTAAAGTTCTATCAGATAAGTTAACCACTAAAGTGGTATCTCGATGTTCAGGAATTATTTCCTCCGATAAGATGCGCCATTTGGAAAAAGACTGGTACGTTTGACCAGATCTAAGTTCTCTGTCTTCATCTGATCCGTCTTGTGTGTTTATTGATTACAGTGGTGCCTCGCAAGACGAAATTAATCTGTTCCGCGAGAGTCTTCGTCTAGCGGTTTTTCGTCTTGCGAAGCAACCCTATTAGCGGCTTAACGGATTAGCGCTATTAGCGGTTTAGCGGCTATTAAAGGCTTAAAGGCTTAGAGGATTAGCTGCTAAAAGGCTATTAAAGGCTATTAAAGGCTTAGCAGATTAGATAAAGGGGGGGGAAAGCGAAAAAAAATCTCTAGACTCGCAAGACATTTTCGTCTTGTGAAGCAAGCCCATAGGGAAATTCGTCCTGCGAAGCAACTCAAAAACGGAAAACCCTTTCGTCTAGCGGGTTTTCCGTCTTGCGAGGCATTCGTCTTGCGGGGCACCACTGTATTTTATGGAATGGCTGCATCAAGGTGCAAAATCTGGAATTTCCGTGTTTTGTGTGTTTAGCTTCCCATTGTCCCACTTGGCGAACAGTGGGGCAGCTCCCAACTTCTGCAACAATACTTTACAATCCCATTTTCTCTCCAGCTGCCATCTGAACATAACTTGTCCCAAACAACGTAACTATTCCATCACTGAGGAAGGAATGTTCCCAGCCATTCGTGCCCATTGAGAGAATGCCCTCCGCCAGCTTTATAAGCATCATCTGGCATTCACTACTCTTTAGCAAGTTATCAAGGGCGCTTCCTGACAACCTCGTTCCGGAGCAATCTTATTTGTTTGCAGAGAACCTAGATGCCTACTGTTTAATGAGCATCCATTCTGATTTGTTTGAGGGTAGGTTAGATGATGTTGCATCAAGGCAAGCCTTATTCCACCCTTTCCAGTGTTTTCCCCTTCACTTTCCTTCCTGCAGAAAAAAATCAGATTCAGAAGCAGTTTTGTTGTGCAGACCAACTACTAAATTAGCCGGTATGCAATTGAATCCCACTCGAGCAAATGGCTCCAGGTATACTTCAATTAAATGTAAGGGTTTCCTGGAATAGGGCTGGGAAAGTCCTCTGCCCAAGTCCTTAAGAGGTACCTTTGGGTCATGGGGTTAAGCTAGACATGGCATTTGGGAGATCTTCTTCTTCTTCTTCTTCTTCTTCTTCTTCTTCTTCAGTATTAGTAGCAGTGCAAGGAAAGAAATCCGATTGGAACTAAGATTTTGAGGGTGTTTGACATCTGGGAGTTTGACACCACAGGTTTCCCCAACCCTGCTGTACATCTTCTGGAGGTGGTGCCCTTATTTAGGTTGACGTTTGGTGCTCAAGGATGGAAAAAGTATAATAATTAGTATACCATTATCTAGGGATGTGGGTGGCGCTGTGGGTTAAACCACAGAGTCTTGGACTTGCATATCAGAAGGTCGGCGGTTCGAATCCCTGCAATGGGGTGAGCTCCCGTTGCTCGGTCCCTGCTCCTGCCAACCTAGCAGTTCAAAAGCACGTCAAAGTGCAAGTAGATAAATAGGTACCGCTCCGGCAGGAAGGTAAACGGCGTTTCCGTGCACTGCTCTGGTTCGTCAGAAGCGGCTTAGTCATGCTGGCCACATGACCCGGAAGCGAGATGAGCGCCACAACCCCAGAGTCGGTCACGACTGGACCTAATGGTCAGGGGTCCCTTAACCTATTAGTAGCAGTGCAAGGAAAGAAATCCGATTGGAACTAAGATTTTGAGGGTGTTTGACATCTGGAAGTTTGACATCACAGGTTTCCCCACCCCTGCTGTACATCTTCTGGAGGTGGTGCCCTTCTTTAGGTTGACGTTTGATGCTCAAGGACAGGAAAAGTATAATAATTACTACACCGTTATCTACCTTGTTATTGGGTTGGATGGAGAGGGCTGTAAGTACAAAGAGGCACACATTGATCCCAGGGCACAGCATTCCCTCTCAAACCATTTCCTTGATCCGACCCAACATTTGTTGCTCTAATGGAAACACAGGGGCTCCAAACCGCATCCGTTTCATCCACCAGTGTGATCAGTGGTCAAGGATGGGAGCTGCTGTCAAGAAGGCCATAGATTCCCCACCCCTGATGTACAGGTTCAGGTTTTGGCGAGTCCTCCAGGGAACGAATCCCAAGGTTGTGGGGCCACCACAACAACGTTTTGCTTTGCTTGTGCAAAGCTGGTATGGCACAGAGATGACGTACTTAAGAGAGTGTCTTCAGTCTTGAAGGCTATGATGGGAGGGAAATGAGTGGCTCATTATGGTTCTTTTTAACACTGGCCTCTTTGTTTATTTTCCCTTCAAGGACATGGAGCTGCTCAGGTTTTCGCTGACTCTCATTCAGTCCTGGCTAGGTCCTGTACGGTTCCTAAGCAGGGTCTTCACTAATAGTCTGGTCTTTGGGACTTCGGACAGAGTGTATGAAAAACTCCAAGACTTGGAAGAAGGCATCCAGACTCTTATGAGGGTAAGCCATCTGTTCCCAAGGGGCAAAGGGGCAAGCAGCTGCCTTTGAGTGAAGCTACAGTTCTGATCACCCTACTAACCACGACGACTGTGTGCTAACTCCCAATATTGGAGACAAGATGCCTCTGAACTCCAGTTGCTGAAGAATGCAAGTTGTGCTCATGTGAGCTTCTCTTTTGGCCTCACCCAACAAGGCATTTGGGACGCGGGTGGCGATGTGGGTTAAACCTCAGAGCCTAGGACTTGCCAATCAGAAGGTTGGCGGTTCGAATCCCCGCGACGGGGTGAGCTCCCGTTGCTCAGTCCCTGCTCCTGCCAACCTAGCAGTTCGAAAGCACCTCAAAGTGCAAGTAGATAAATAGGTACCGCTCCGGCGGGAAGGTAAATGGCATTTCCATGCGCTGCTCTGGTTTGCCAGAAGCGGCTTAGTCATGCTGGCCACATGACCCGGAAGCTGTACGCCGGCTCCCTCGGCCTTTAAAGCGAGATAAGCGCCACAACCCCAGAGTTGGCCACGACTAGACCTAACAGTCAGGGGTCCCTTTACCTTTACTAACAAGGCATTTAAAGCTCTCAACTTGCAATTAAGCCACATTTGGGGAAAAGCCGGAAACAGTAACTGCTGCTGAGTCCCGCATTGCTGTTGCTGCATCTCAACCCATCCATTGCAGAACTGCCTTTGCAAGGCCTCTTACTCAATTTTGCAGCCAGGCTGAGAAGTACCTATAGCAGGCTTCCTCAACCTCAGCCCTCCAGATGTCTTGAGACTACAGTTCCCAGCATCCCTTACCACTGGTCCTGCTAGCTAGGGATGATGGGAGTTGTAGGCCAAAAACATCTGGAGGGCCGAGGTTGAGGAAGCCTGACCTAGAGATAGGCTTCAGATGCTTGCCAATAGACACCTCCCACCTGTCTTCTCCCATTCCAGGGGCTGCATGCAAGCCTCTGCCCACCTACAACACAGGGCAGCGGTTGTTGTAATTAGTCATGAAGCAAAGGGATGGGAAATTTTCAAAATCTCCCAAGTTTGGGATTTGGGGCCATGTTTCCTAATAATAATTATTTATTTATACCCCGCACATCTGGCTGGGTTTCCCCAGCCACTCTGGGCGGCTCCCAACAGAATATTAAAAGCACAATTAAACATCAAACATTAAAAACTTTCCTAAACAGAGCTGCCTTCAGATGTCTCCCAAAAGACAAATAGTTGTTTATTTCCTTGATATCTGATAAGAGGGCGTTCCACAGGGCGGGTGCCACTACCAAGAAGGCCCTCTGCCTGGTTCCCTGTAGCTTCACTTCTCGCAGCGTGGGAAGGTCCTTGGAGCTGGACCTCAGTGTCCGGGCTGAACGATGGGAGTGGAGACGCTCCTTCAGGTATTCTGGGCCGAGGCCATTTAGGGCTTTCAAGGTCCGTCGTAGTACCTTTCCCATTTGCAAGAGCGTATTTTCCCACAGGAGCTGGAGGACGGGAGCTCACGGGGCGCCCAGCTGCTCAGACCCACCTACGACAAATTTGACGTCAACCTCCGGAGCGAAGACGCTCTGCTGAAAAACTACGGCCTTCTGTCCTGCTTCAAGAAGGACCTGCACAAGGTGGAGACCTACCTGAAAGTGATGAAGTGCCGGCGCTTCGGGGAACTTAACTGCACCATCTGAGGGCAGAAGAGGTCTACCTCTCCCTTCGGTCCCATTTCCCAAAGCCTGAAGTTAGTGCGCTGCCGATACCTCTGCTGTGACCTCGTGTGTGCGTGTGAGGAAACCCTGAGTCAAGAGCAAAATGTCGTGCATTCTGTAGCTCTGAGGCTTGCAAGGACCCTCTGCGCTTCTTTGTACTTGTAACAATAAATGCAGTTTTGCCTCTAGCTCCGTTCAGACGTTGTTATTTGTATTGGATCAACTCAGATAGGCCTTTGCGAGCGAGGGGGCCTCTTTACCCTTGCCCCCATCAGGTTTATTTCCAACTGTGAAGGCCTGAAAATGCGGGGAGTCTCTTCTAAGCATGCTCCATTGAACCTCCCCTACAGTCAAGAACCTTGTGTTAAGTGGGTTCTCGATTGTGCGTGTTCTAAGGGTATGTCCTTAGAAGCCCCCTTTCACCTTTCTTTTTTAAATTTTTTAAATAACTTTTATTAGGATTTTCCACACAGCAACACGAAAAATATCGAAAAATAACAATACACAACACACAAAAACCAACATTCAAAAAACGAAACAAAAAAACACAAATCCGTATCTTACAAGTTAATAATATAAACACTAAAAAAAAAAAAAAATTGACTTCCACAATCCCACAGCACCTCCTTTATCTCTCATTGTGTCTTCCCTGTTTTCCTTATCATCTCTATCCTAACATCTAGATATAAATCCCTCTTTCTTATCCTTTCACTTCACAAGGTTATTCCAGACTCAGACAGATTTCTGTCCTCGAACCTTGACTTTAAAGGTATTCATTTAGGCACTCCCATTCTTTTTTTACTTCACTTTTTGGTTTTTGTCTTATTATGTCTGTCAATTTGGCTATTTCTAAGTATTCTGAAAGCTTACATAACCACTTTCCCCTAGTGGGTAACTGATTCCCTTTCCAGTACTTAGCCACCAGGATTCTTGCTGCAGACGTTGCGTATAAGAAAAAATTAGTTTTGTCTTTTGGAATATCATCATTTAAAATTCCTTTCATGAAAGTTGCATGAAGGTCTGAAGCAAGGGTGACTCTCAGCTTATGCTGGGTTGACGTTCTAGAGAAAGTGCCTAAAACCAAAATTATGTATAGTCAAAGCACACTGAGTTCAGTGGCAAGTGAGACTGCCAAAGGTTTATTTCCAGGACGTCCAACCCATTTTTATTTTTTTGCCAAGCAAATAAAGCTGAATGTGCACAGGTTTAATGCACATAAATTGCAAATCACCCATACAGTGTTTGTGCCTATGGAGCTTACTTCATTTTAAAAATTATAATAAAGGAAATCCCTGTGCTTCATTTCTGGATAAAGTTCTTGCCACCTTCTGATTTGGAAGCCCTTTCCTTCCCCCTTTATCCCTGACCAGATGCAACAAAACATGTCTTTCCTGTACTGGTCTCTCCTGTAAACCTCCAACAGTTTGACCAAAGGACTACTCCTTTGTTGTCTCCCGAGACAGATGGATGCCAATCTAACCCTGATCCAAACTTCCATTTGCCCTGCAACTTTCCCCTGGGGAAAACCTGATCTTTAGCGCTAAATCGGACCAAACATCAGCTGGGTTTCCTTCGGATTGACATTTCTTCCGATTTTAATTTCGTGGCTGCTATCACAGCCTTAATTTACCGGAGGCTTTTTTGTGCTCCAGAGATGAGGTTTGGTGTTGAACTTCGACGCAGGGGGCGAGGGCAGTCCCGGGAAGTCACGGGAGCCCTCCGTCTGCAAACACGTGGACTAGAGGGCCGCCCCCAGGAGGGAGTGGGGCTTTTGTTTTTTTGGCTGCAAATCGGCTTCATGCTCTGCAGCTGATCCATGGCAGAAATAGTGGAGTTCCGCGTCCCGGATGGAAACGGACGGACCCTGCTCGTTTTGGGATTGGAGACAGACGCGTCAGAGGCAAGATCGCAGAATTGTAGAGGGGAACCCCGAGGGTCATCTAGTCCAACCCCCTGCAAGGCAGCAATAGTTTTCTATTTCCTTGGATTTGCCCTGTATTTGGGTGGGTTATTCAGGTATTCGGGTGGGAAACCTTCGGCGCCCGACATGCATGCATGCTTTCAGGGGCGAGAGAGGGTTTCTTTGCAGACCTCTTCAGACATTCGGGGCTGCTCGTGAACACGTGTCGGGACGCACTGTGTCCGCTTGCCCGGGGCTAAGAACTGCCCTCGCTTTGGCTCTGCTTTAAAAAAAATGAAATGAAAAAATAGCGTTTATGCTGCGGGGGACCTGGCACACAAATTTCTTTGAATCGTTTGGAAGCGGAACTGAATTTGAAAAGGCTCGCGCGAGGAGCTATCGCTCCTGTCCCGCCTCCGCTGGATCCGTGTACGGATGAACGTCGGGATGGGCAGCAGACGCGGGACTGGCTAACCTCCGCCTGGGCCGGAACTCTTCGAGCGGGGCTGGGGAGCCCGGGGGACCTTTCGCCGTTGGCGCACTGTTGTTGGACTACAACTCCCATCATCCCTGACTACCGGCTGTGCTGGCTGCGGCTGGCGGAAGTTGTAGTCCAATAAGATCAGGAGGCCCGCTGATTCCTTGTCCGTGATTGGAAGCAGCTTTTGAATCGGTCTTCGCGCTTTGGAGTAACGACCGGTTCCTGGCTTTGTAAAACGGATCAGAAACACCTTTGCTTATTCCAGCATTTTATAGATATTTATCCTAGGACGATATACGATGCAGTTTAGGAATCAAAACAACGATAAAATGTGCAATAAGCCAGTTAAAGGCAATCAACCATTAGCACAACACACAACTGAAATAAGCAATTAAAACAATAAAGTGAAAACAACCGCCCTCTTAATGCTGTTTCTCAGTACATAGCATTAAAAATGCCCCAAGAAATAAAATATGGATTAGCCTGATACTTGATAAAAAGGGGGGTGCCTTAAGGAAGCAGCTTCACAATGAAGTTGCAATCTCAGCTGTTGGTGCTCTGAGAGGAGCTGCTGTGGAAAATCTTAGTGCCTGGGCAAGTTGATGGGGAGAAAGTGGTCTTTAGGGTGCCCCATCCCAAGCTGTGAAAGACTATAAACATAGCTGTCAACTTTTCCCTTTTCTTGCAAGGAATCATACTCGGAATAAGAGAATTTCCCTTTAAAAAAGGGGAAAGTTGACAGCTGTGACTATAAAGGTCAAAAGCAGCATCTTGAATTGGACAAAATATCAAGAGGTTGAATGCTATCACCTGAGGACTGAACCGAGACAAAGGATTGTAGCATGTTATATGGGCACAGCCCCTGTTATTTTCAATGGAGTTTGCTCAGGAGATGTTCTGGTAGGTTGTGCCCCATGGATCTACCTTTTACTCTGCCATAGCACCCAGAATCTTACGCTGCAAAGACCTCATGCTATGCTATGCTATGCTAGTAGATTTTCTAGCTTTGCTTTTTCCAATGGAATTTTTTCCCCTTCCCTTCCAGCATGCTCTGTATTTAACCTTCTCTGCATTTGGCCCGCTCTATTCCGTGAGGGTTCACCAAAATGCTCCAGTCGCTGGGCCTGGCTATTATGCCCTTGTGAAGTTCTACTCTGCGAGAGATGCCAGCAAGGCACAATGTGCTTGTAACCAGCGGCCCCTGTTTCAGAAATCCCCTTTGAAGGTATCTGACCAACGCTGAATCTTAAGACTGTGTCTATGTTACAGGTGTTTTCCCTACAGAATAGTCGGTGTGCGCTTATGAGTAAATTCTAATGCAACGAGGTAGTTTTCCCCTGGGGTTAGAAACAGGATGTAGAAGGTGCCATGACTGGAATTTCTGACATCTTTTTATTTTACCAAAAGCAGCCACAAAGCTTCTCCAACTGCCACATAACACTCTGGTCCTGTGCCCCCATCCCAATTCAAGTGGGGACTCACACAGCTGCTTTTTTGGTGGGGGTGTAAAATAAAAACATGTTGCACGTTTTAATCACAGAGGTTTCACATCATGTATAGTTTGACTGTAAAATCAATAGCACTAAGCACAGCTCAGCATCCCCCATCTCACACATTATAGTAGGTACAGTGATACCTCGGGTTACATACACTTCAGGTTACAGACTCCACTAACCCAGAAATAGTACCTTGGGTTAAGAACTTTGCTTCAGGATTAGAAGAGAAATCGTGCTCCGGCGGCGCGGCAGCAGCAGGAGGCCCCATTAGCTAAAGTGGTGCTTCAGGTTAAGTACGGACCTCTGGAACGAATTAAGTACTTAACCCGAGGTACCACTGTACTGTCCATTTTGGGTTCTTGCAGTTTCTCATTCCCCCCCATTGTTAAGTACTCCTAGGGTAACCCCTTAGACCAGCCTTTCTCAACCTTGGGTCCCCATATGTTTTTGGCCTACAACTCCCATCATCCCTGACCACTGGTCCTGTGCGCTAGGGATCATGGGAGTTGTAGGCCAAAAACATCTGGGGACTCAAGGTTGAAAACCACTGCCTTAGACCTTCCCCCTTCCGTGTCATGCTGCTACAGATCCCAAGGCCAGGAAGCAGTTCTTTCCTCCTCCTGCGACTCTTCATACTGATGGGTGGGGTGGCAACAGCTTCTTAATGCAAAGAAAAGGCAAGATTGTAAAACCATTGTAAGGCTTTGCTTTGTGTTAAAAAAAACCAAAGCAAATGGGAGAATGTTCTGAAATAATAACAACAACAACAATTATTATTATTATTATTTTATTTATACCCCACCCATCTGGCTGGGCTTCCCCAGCCACTCTGGGCGGCTTCCAAAAAAATATTAAAATACTGTAATACATCAAACATTAAAAGCTTCCCTAAACAGGACTGCCTTCAGATGTCTTCTAAAAGTCTGGTAGTTGTTGTTCTCTTTGACATCTGGTGGGAGGGTGTTCCACAGGGCGGGTGCCACTACCGAGAAGGCCCTCTGCCTGGTTCCCTGTAACTTGGCTTCTTGCAGTAAGGGAACCGCCAGAAGGCCTCGGTGCTGGACCTCAGTATCCGTTCAGAACGATGGGGGTGGAGACGCTCCTTCAGGTATACTGGGCCAAGGCCATTTAGGGCTTTAAAGGTCAGCACCAACACTTTGAATTGTGCTCGGAAATGTACTGGGAGCCAATGTAGGTCTTTCAAGACCAATGTTATATGGTCTCGGCGGCTGCTCCCAGTCACCAGTCTAGCTGCCGCTTTCTGGCTTAGTTGTAGTTTCCGGGTCACCTTCAAAGGTAGCCCCACGTAGAGCGCATTGCAGTAGTCTAATGGCTCTTGATGCAAATAGTTGAAATGCCATCGCTTCTTGTCTTCACCTGTGGAAGAAAAGATGATGATGACTGTGGGTTGTTATCACCTGGGACGTCTTTTTCTTCCCCCACCCCTTCCATGCCCAGGTTTGCCTCTGTACCAGACAGCGACCCTTTTCACAGAAAGGCTTGGGTTTGAGCAGCTACAGATGCCGGGAATTAGCCAATCACTTCCTTGGTTTCAACAGCTGGTCCAGTCGTATCATCACGGTAAGGATGGTCTGCTGTTTGCACTTGGGTTTCTTGTTTTCACTCCCACTTTCATATGAGATGCTAAGTCTGCTAAGTGTCACGGCTTCCCTCCAAGGCAGGCTTCCTCAACCACGGCCCTCCAGATGTTTTGAGACTACAGTTCCCATCATCCTTGACCACTGGTCCTGATAGCTAGGGATCATGGGAGTTGTAGGCCCAAAACATCTGGAGGGCCGAGTTTGAGGAAGCCTGCTCTAAGGCAGTGGTGGCCAAACATGGCCCTCCAGCTGTTTTGGGACTACAACTTCCATCATCCCTAGCTAACAGGACCAGTGGTCAGGGATGATGGGGATTGTAGTCCCCAAACAGCTGGAGGGCCAAATTTGGCCACCACTGCTCTAAGGGTTGGGAGAAAAACAAGTAGAGTCTGACGGTTGTCGGCCACTTATATAAACAGTTACATTGGGGTTTGCTACCTATGTGTCAGGCGGCAGACGATGCAAGCCCCAGGGCAGGCTGCCAGAAACGGATAAGACAAAGAAGAGTTCTTACCAACTGCTTTTTATTCAATATTCATAGAGAGAGGCTTGGAAATGCAGCCTTTTGGAATAATGGCATTGCCCCAAGTGAGTCTCCACTGTCTCCCTCTCTCATGTGTCATAGCTACGGGTGCTGCTATGTGCCCTCTGCCTTTGAGCTCTTTGCTCTCCTACTTTCAATGCTCTCCGGGTTCTGGGAGAGGGTGTGTGTGTGTCTGGAATGCTTTCTAAAGACACCGTGTCTGTCAGCTGTCACCCCTCTGGTGGTGCTGCTACTTCCTCCCCCTCCTCTCCCATTATTTCCCAGCTTTCCCCCTCATCTGCCTCTGAGCTGTGATCTCCCTCAATCACCTGTTGTACAGTGGTACCTTGGGTTAAGTACTTAATTCGTTCTGGAGGTCCGTACTTAACCTGAAACTGTTCTTAACCTGAAGCACCACTTTAGCTAATGGGGCCTCCTGCTGCTGCTGCGCCGCCGGAGCACGATTTCTGTTCTCATCCTGAAGCAAAGTTCTTAACCTGAAGCACTATTTCTGGGTTAGCGGAGTGTGTAACCTGAAGCGTATGTAACCTGAAGCGTATGTAACCCGAGGTACCACTGTAATTCCAAACTGTCTTCTTCTCTGGGAAGGTCAGACTGGGGAGGTGGTCTCCACCATTCTTCTTCTGCCCAGTCCCTGACATCATGAGAGGCGGCAAACAAATAATATCTTATTTTTTAAAAAAGGCTGTCCATTGTAAGCTTTATAGGACGTGCTCGAAGTGGGATGGGGTGGGTTGGCACTATTATTCTTATTATTACATGTATTCATCACTCAAAATGGCTTACAATTGTAAAAAAAAGCATACAAGTACAAAAGGTTAAAACAACAAATTTTATTTACTAAAAATGTTCATCTTGCAATACAGTGGTACCTTGGGTTACATACACTTCAGGTTACAGACTCCACTAACCCAGAAATATTACCTCAGGTTAAGAATTTTGCTTCAGGATGAGAACAGAAATCGTGCTCCGGCGGCGCGGCAGCAGCAGGAAGCCCCATTAGCTAAAGTGGTGCTTCAGGTTAAGAACAGTTTCAGGTTAAGTGCAGACCTCCGGAATGAATTAAGTACTTAACCTGAGGTACCACTGTAATATAAAAAGGGACAAATCTTACCCAGCCCCACCAAAAAAAGATGAGGATCACAACAGGCTAGGGTATCATCATACCATATGATCCTAATTAAAAAGCAAATGCCTGGCATTTTAACGTTGAGAATGATCCTTCCATTCCACTTTTCAAGCAGACCAATCCTCTCTCTCTTCTTTTCAGGGAGATGTAAACAGTCTTGTCTCACCAGCTCAACTTCTTCCACTTCAGGCATCGCTTTTAGGGGCCCACAAATCTCAGCTGCTCTTAGTAGCCAGCCATTTTTGATGTTGTCACCAGTTGCTAATTGCTCCCCTCTCCTGGGTCTTCTAGCATGTTCAGGGTGGAGTGCTGAGAGGTCAACCTCTCATTTTGCAGTGAGCTGGGAGAGATGCTCAGGTGCAGTGAAAATCTCTCTCGACTTGTGAAAGTCTCCAAAACTCAGTGTTAACTTGTGAGAACAACTCTCCCCTTCCGCTGGGCCCTAGAGGATGATGGGGGCGCCCTACCAATTACCTTCACTGCTTTTGACCACCACCCCAAACCTTGGTCAAGAAGAGAGGGAGATACTGTGAAAAATAAATACAGTCATACCTCATGTTACTTTTGCTTCATGTTACGTTCTTTCAGGTTACGTCCTGCGGCAACCCGGAATTACCAGAAAGGGTTACTTTTGGGTTTCGCCGCTCGCACATGCGCAGAAGCGTAAAATGATGTCATGCGCAGAAGCGCTGAATCGCAACTCACATGTGCGCAGACGCACCACTGCAGGTTGCGCTCTTTTCATGTTGCGAACAGGCCTCTGGAATGGATCCTGTTCGCAGCCAGAGGTACCACTGTGAAAGCATTATGTAAAAAGAAGAAGATAAACTGGAACTCTGATTGTGCCAGAGGACTTGGAAGAGAAATCTTATTTTGTGGTTGCATAAAAATATTACTGGTTGCTGGTGGCAACCTGGCAACTGCATTTTTTGAGTCCTGGCATGCAGAAAGATTCCCTGGAATTATGAAGGGACAGGGGAGCAACTTTTGGGGTAGCTAAAAACAGCTGGACCATTTGCTAACACAGTTTCTGTTGGGAGCAGCTCCAGAACATATCTGGTTTTGAAGACGAGGAGAATGACGTGGAAGAAGTGAGGACATCGCCCAGGAGCAGGAATGCCAAATATCTGTGTATCCAAGAATTAACCTTCCCCCGATATGGGATCCGCACCAGAGGGATTGGTCTGGCTGAGCTTAATGTAGATCCCAGCCAAGGTAATATGGGGCAGGGTGGGAAGACAGAATGAAACAAGAAGTATAAAAGTGTGGTTGTTATTAATTATGTGGTCAGTAAGAACATTGATAAGGGTGGCGCTGTGGGTTAAACCACAGAGCCTAGGACTTGCCGATTGGAAGGTCGGCAGTTCGAATCCCCGCGACGGGGTGAGCTCCCGTTGCTCGGTCCCTGCTCCTGCCCACCTAGCAGTTCGAAAGCACGTCAAAGTGCAAGTAGATAAATAGGTACCACTCCGGCGGGAAGGTAAACGGCGTTTCCGTGCGCTGCTCTGGTTTGCCAGAAGCGGCTTAGTCATGCTGGCCACATGACCCGGAAGCTGTACGCTGGCTCCCTCGGCCAGTAAAGCGAGATGAGTGCCGCAACCCCAGAGTCGGTCACGACTGGACCTAATGGTCAGGGGTCCCTTTACCTTTTAAGAACATTGATCAGGAAGAGGGTTATTGCTTGAGCCTGAAGAACCAGGATCCTGGACAATGGGTTTGGCTGAAAGGTGGCGACTAACCCGTAGTCTCTTTGCTGCACGCTGCAGCACAAAAGACAGCAGTGTAGACAAGATTTGACTGGACTCTTTTGTGTTCTTCAGATTTTTGGTTTGTAAAGTACGTAAGAGATCACAGGGCAAACCAAAAAATCAATGAAAAGGTACAGGATTTTGCAATTGTGGCAAAAATGACTTCTTTTTTAAGATCTCAAGAGAAAGAAGACAGAGACAAGATAACTTTTGGGCACAATGGCAGAAATTCATTGCTTATACTGAGATGTTGTTTAGAACCAACGGAGACCTAAGAGTTTACAATGTATTAATATTTTGGGAAGTCAAATTATGGAAGAAATCGTGGACATTCCTTATTATGACAAATATCTAGTCAAATCTGGAAATGTGTAGTCATAGTTTTCTCCCTCCCCTCCTTTCTTTTTAGTAGGAACGTATAAAAAATATCCTTATATTTATATTATAACTATAATGACCATCTGGAGTTTCATTGTGCATTTTGTTAATGATTAAAGATACTCCTTTGTAATATTAAAGGTAAAGGGACCCCTGACCATTAGGTCCAGTCGCGGCTGACTCTGGGGTTGCGGCGCTCATTTCGCTTTATTGGCCGAGGGAGCTGGCGTACAGCTTCCAAGTCATGTGGCCAGCATGACTAAGCCGCTTGTGGCGAACCAGAGCAGCGCACAGAAATGCCGTTTACCTTCCCGCCGGAGTGGTACCTATTTATCTACTTGCACTTTGTGCTTTCGAACTGCTAGGTTGGCAGGAGCAGGGACTGAGCAATGGGAGCTCACCCCGTCGCGGGGATTCAAACCGCCAACCTTCTGATCAGCAAGTCCTAGGCTCCGTGGTTTAACCCACAGCGCCACTGGCCTCCCTTTTGTAATATTACGGATTTAATTATTTTCTTTGATATCACAGACATCTGGAATAATATTAAAGTGGGTTAGTGTTTCAGGTCCAACATTATAAGGACATTCAAACTGCTACGGCTTAAAGCATTGATTAGTTCAGAGGCTGACAGCAGCTGGCTGGCAGGCAGATGTATCGTGAAACAATCTGGTCTTCTGCTGGCTTCTGTCTTTCAGAGTTTCTCCTGGCCGCGAACAACATCCAGAAGCTTGCCGTGCATCGAGCCCTCTCAGATGCATTTCAGAAGATTCTCATTATAGTTCTAGGCAAGTCTCTTTATTTTTGTTTATTTTTTCATATATACTTTCTGTTTGCTCTTTCTTGGGGCACACATTTGTCTCCCTGGAAATGGACTCCCTTGGGAGGTTGTGGGCTCCTTCCTTGGAGGTTTATAAGCAGGGGGGGGCGGGCAACTGTCCACCCAATCTGGTGGAACGCTCTGTCACAAGAGACTAGGGCCCTGCGGGACTTGACATCTTTCCGCAGGGCCTGCAAGACAGAGCTGTTCCACCAGGCCTTTGGCCAAGGCACAGTCTGACCCCCTCCTTTGGTAATCCTCACAGAGCTCTAGCCCAATGGTTGCCATTAATTTGATTTTGAATTGATTTTAGAATGAATTGATTTTAGAACATTGTGTTACTTTTATTGTTGTCAGCTGCTCTGAGCCCGGCTTCAGCTGGGGAGGGCGGGATATAAATAAACAAATTATTATTATTATTATTATTATTATTATTATTATTATTATTATTATTATTGATCTACCTGAGATTCCTGCATTGCAGGGGGTTGGACTAAATGACCCTCAGAGCTCCTTCCAGCTCTACAATTCGATGACTTTATGAAATGTAAAATAATACTTTTAATTCTGAAATCATATGTTAATCCTGCAGGAGGAATTCAACATAGCACTAAGGAGACAAGTATTTCTGTTTGCCTGATGGAATGAGCTCCTCTCTCCAGTGTTGTGGTTCTGGGGGTTCCACCACCACCCAGAGCCAATTTCAGGGAGTGGACTGGAAGATGAGGAGGGGAAGCTCTATTGGGCTAGCGGAAGTCCTCTCACAGGCTTCTGCTAGTGGGTCTGTCCAGTTTAGGCTTCCTCAACCACGGCCCTCCAGATGTTTTGAGACTACAATTCCCATCATCCCTGACCACTGGTCCTGCTAGCTAGGGATCATGGGAGTTGTAGGCCAAAAACATCTCGAGGGCCGAGGTTGAGGAAGCCTGGTCTAGTTGAATCTGGTACTGTATCAATAAAACCCTAAATAAATATCAAGTACGTCAGAAATAGGACGTGGATGGTGCTGTGGGTTAAACCACAGAGCCTAGGACTTGCCGATCAGAAGGTTGGCGGTTCGAATCCCCGCGACGGGGTGAGCTCCCGTTGCTCGGTCCCTGCTCCTGCCAACCTAGCAGTTCGAAAGCACATCAAAGTGCAAGTAGATAAATAGGTACCGCTCTGGCGGGAAGGTAAACAGCATTTCCATGCGCTGCTCTGGTTCGTCAGAAGTGGCTTAGTCATGCTGACCACATGACCCGGAAGCTGTACGCCGGCTCCCTCAGCCAATAAAGCGAGATGAGGGCCGCAACCCCAGAGTCGGCCACGACTGGACCTAATGGTCAGGGGTCCCTTTACGTTTACCTTACGTCAGAAAATAATACAGAAAGCTTTTTCCTTGTTTTAGCTTGTTCAAGCTTGACCACATTTGCTTGACTGTTTTCAGAGAATGGGAAGGTAGCTGTGGAGTACAGCTGTCCCCAGGAAGACCATGTTGACCTTTTAACAGAAGAGGAACTCAAAGGTCTCATCCAGGTAATCTGGAACACTATCTAATGTACAGCGTCAGATTGCTGTGATCTGTTAAACTCAGTTTTTGGGCACCGTAGCTTCATAGGAGAGAGTGATCAGAGAAAATATGGCTTCTCTGTTGTTAGAAAGTTGAGAAAATCCGCTGAGGATGAACTGCTTGTCAGGTTCGCTTAGGAACCCAGATGGCTGGCTTTGCAGAAGAGTAAACCACAGAGCCTAGGACTTGCCGATCAGAAGGTCGGCGATTCGAATCCCCGCGACGGGGTGAGCTCCTGTTGCTCGGACCCTCTCCTGCCAACCTAGCAGTTCGAAAGCACGTCAAAGTGCAAGTAGATAAATAGGTACCGCTCCAGTGGGAAGGTACCGTATTTTTCGCTCCATAGGGCGCACCTACTTTTAAGAGGGGGAAATCAAGGAAAAAAATATGATTCCCCCCCCCCCCAGCTCTGGGAGCAGTGGACAGTGCGCTTCTCCCAGACCTTCTTCCTGCTTTTGCGGGAGGTGGGGGAATTCCACCATCTCCCGCAAAAGCCCACAGTAGCCACGCACCCTTTAAGGAGCGCATGGCTCCTGCGGGCTTTTCTACGAGGAGGGAGAAGGGACTGACGCGGCCAGCCAGTCCCTTGTCCATCCTCTGGGAAAAGCCCCCAAGAGCGGCGCGCTCTTTAAAGGGTGCGTGGCTCCTGCGGGCTTTTCTGTGAGGTGGGTGAATTCCCCCACCTCGTAGAAAAGCCAGCAAAAGCCGCGCACCATTTAAAGAGCACGCGGCTTTTGCGGGAGGTGGGGGGATTTCCCCCCACCTCCCGCAGAAGCTGTGCGCTCTTTAAAGGGTGCGTGGCTCCTATGGTCTTTTCTGCGAGGTGGGAGAAGGGACGGATGCGGCCAGTCAGTCTCTTCTCCCTCCTGGGGAAAAGCCCGCAAGAGCGCACGAAGCTTGTGTGCAGCTCTTGGGGGCTTTTCCAGCCTGCCTCCCCCCCCTGCATTCGCTCCATAGGACGCACACACATTTTCCCTTGCTTTTTAGGAGGGAAAAAGTGCGTCCTATAGAGCGAAAAATACGGTAAACAGCGTTTCCCTGCGCTGCTCTGGTTCGCCAGAAGCGGCTTAGTCATGCTGGCCACATGACCCGGAAGCTGTACGCTGGCTCCCTCAGCCAATAAAGCGAGATGAGCGGCGCAACCCCAGAGTCGGCCACAACTGGATCTAATGGTCAAGGTTCCCTTTACCTTTAGGTGGCCTCTAGCCGGTGATGGACATCCCGTCACCTGGCTTTTGAGGCCAAGAGGATTGCTGGCTGTTGCAGAAAACTCTCAGCTGGAGTCTTAACTCATTTGGTTGGCATCCTGGGTTGCACAGAGACCCAGTGTCTGAACCATAGGGCTCTGTTTTCAAGCCCTGTGGCGTCTAATAGATCAAAACAAAAGGAAGTACATCTTCATCAATGCAATGAGTTAACTTTTGGCTTTCATTTTGCAAAGATGCTAAAGCAGTCGCTATTAGCATGTGTGTATCCCCCATCTTAGGGACGCGGGTGGCGCTGTGGTTTAAACCACAGAGCCTAGGACTTGCTGATCTGAAGGTCAGCAGTTCGAATCCCTGCAACGGGGTGAGCTCCCGTTGCTCAGTCCCTGCTCCTGCCAACCTAGCAGTTCAAAAGCACATCAAAGTGCAAGTAGATAAATAGGTACCACTCCGGCAGGAAGGTAAACGCCGTTTCCGTGTGCTGCTCTGGTTCGCCAGCAGCGGCTTAGTCATGCCGGCCACATGATCCGGAAGCTGTACGCCGGCTCCCTTGGCCAATAAAGCAAGATGAGCGCCGCAACCCCAGAGTCGTCTGCGACTGGACCTAATGGTCAGGGGTTCCTTTACCTTTTTATCCCCTCTCATGCTCAGATTCACAGTGGTTTTCAACTGGGGAGAGCTCTTCTCGTCTAATCCATCAAAGCAATTTCTGTTTATTTTATTTTTTTAGGGATTCTGCAGCCTTGGCAGATCCTGTCAGATCGAGCTCCTTTTTAGTTGCATGTGGGGCAGGGTGAAAGCAGAATGAGAGCAAGGGAAAGGTGACTGGCGTATTTCAAAAGCCAATTCCTGATTGCTCAGGCCCACATGCAAGCCTGCCCCCCCCAAAAAATCACCCACTGTGGGGAGAAAAGGATCATGGATGTACAGCACCAGGCACAGATATTGAAAATACAGTTTTAGCAGCTCCAGTATGCGTACCCAGCATACATTTAAAATACACGAGTTCCACCCAAAATTTTTTTTTTAAATGGGAAGAGTAATTCATTAAGGGTCCTAGCAATTGTAGCTGTATGAGGGGCGTACAGTTCTGGAGGGGAAATAATGTGCTTTCAATGTATGCTGTGTACACAGCCCCAGTCTGTGAAATGTAAGTTTTAATGTATTTTTATTAAAGATTTTCTTGATTTACAAAGCTATTTGCAATGTCTCTCTCTCGTATTTTTTTCCTCCATATATTTTTTTTTATTTTTTTTTTACAAATCGGTTTCATTTGTTGAGACATTAGGAAGAATAGGGGGAAAGAGGTGGAGGGGAGGGAAGATGAGTGGGGTTGGGGTTGGGTGGTGATGTTTCCATTTTACTTAATATATGTGGGGTTTGGTGTCAGCGTTGCTTGTGCAGGTTCTTTGCTGTTCGCTTGTGTTCCTTTGGTGGTGAGAGAGGCTGGGGTTGGCCTAGGGTGTGGTTGTGCATTTGTGGTTGGCTGTGGTGATCTTTGTTTTCATGTGTGAGTGGGGTGGGTGGGTGTTTTGGATCAGGTTAGCCATATTGATTTGTATGCTGTTGGTGGATTTTTGTCGTCGTCTTGTTGGGCTGTGTCAGTTTCAGTTTATTGGTTACCGTATTTTTGCTCTATAAGACTCACTTTTTCCCTCCTAAAAAGTAAGGGGAAATGTGTGTGCATCTTATGGAGCGAATGCAGGCTGCGCAGCTATCCCATAAGCCAGAACAGCAAGAGGGATTGCTGCTTTCACTGCGCAGCGATCCCTCTTGCTGTTCTGGCTTCTGAGATTCAGAATATTTTTTTTCTTGTTTTCCTCCTCCAAAAACATGGTGCGTCTTGTGGTCTGGTGCATCTTATAGAGCGAAAAATACGGTAATTTTTCTAGTAAGGCTGTTTCCCATGCTATTTGGTACCACTGGTCCACTGTGAAATGTAAGTGATCCAGATTGTGCAGAATAACAAACGCTTCCTTCTCTTCCCAGGTGACTGAATTATCACTCTCACAGTTAAGTCCTGTAGAGGAAGAGGAGCTCTCTTGATTTTAGCATGCATTGAAAATAGCACCTGGTGCCCACAGAGTAATGCCTTTAAAGGAGGATATTTTACACCTGTTGAGTCCTCTCTGCTTTGAAAGGGCAACTGCTGCATCTGAAGCTCATGACATTATTGGAAGTCCCATTTTGTTGTTTGCCGTGGTTGCAGATGTTGATTTCCATAAATTGACATCTGCTTATCAAACGATTGCCTATAATTGCCTATTTATTTTTAGCGAAGTGGGGTGATTCCCTCCTCACCAATTTAGTCTCTTTTTTTTCTAATAAATTGGTTCCTGAAAAAAATGATCTGTTATGTTTCTTTCATTCAAAGGTGAGTATTTGTCCTCAGTACAGTGGTACCTCGGGTTACATTCGCTTCAGGTTACGTACGCTTCAGGTTACAGACTCCGCTAACCCAGAAATAGTGCTTCAGGTTAAGAACTTTGCTTCAGGATGAGAACAGAAATCGTGCTCCGGCGGCACGGCGGCAGCAGGAGGCCTCATTAGCTAAAGTGGTGCTTCAGGTTAAGAACAGTTTCAGGTTAAGTACAGACCTCTGGAACGAATTAAGTACTTAACCCGAGGTACCACTGTATAGCAAATACGAGCCTGGGATTAGGAATTGCCCGATAACTGTTGCCAGTCAGAGTAAGAACTACAGTGCTACATGGGCCAATGGTTGGACTCAGTGTAATGGAGTTTAATTTGCTCCTATATCCATCCATCTTGGCTGTCTCTTAGCGCAGGGCCAGCTCATTGGGGCCAATCCTGCCACCGCCTACAATGAACCACTATTGGCAGGATTGGCAGCGATATCAGAAGATACGTTCTCTGATTATTATATATATATATATATATATATTAATTCTCTTGCTAATTATACTGTTAAATATGCATTTTATATTTGACTTCCTTTAGTAATGTTTAAGATAAAACAAATTTTGGTTCACTTTGCTGCGTTAAATGTGCATTCTGTAGTGGACCTCCTTAGAAATGTTTTATTTTGAAATATTTACGATAATATTTTAGTCTTGTGTTAATTATGTTGCTTTGAATGTATACTTTACCCCCCACCCAAAAAAACGAGCCTTTTCCCCATACTAGCCCAGTTGTAAATGACATTGTGTAAACAGTTTTTTGTTTTGTTTTTAATGTAAATTCTTTGTGTTTCCCCTGGTTCTACTGTTCACTAATTTCCAGTGAAATATTTCAGTGTTTTACATGGATAAAGAGATTGGGCTATTGTCAAGAGCTGGGAGAGGTTAACCAGCAAGGCCATCTAGCCAGATTCCTCAGTTGTAAGACATGGCCATCCAACATCAAATCACGCTGTCATTCAGATCACTGTGTGTCATAACCGACATTTAGGGATATCGCATTAAGCCCCAAACATCTTGAGAACATCAAGGCGTTGGCTGTGAATTTGGACCTCCATTGTTGCCATGGCTATGAGAATTCTAGGATGCCAGGAGTAACGCAGAAACGATGTCACAACCGAGCGGAATGCTTGGAACTCGCACACAGAGGCTTACTGTGAAGGGGTCAAAGATCAGGGAATACACAGACATGGGGTGGTGATGCGGTGGCCTCTTCCAAGAGCCTCGCCAGTGCAGCCTCCGTAATGGAGAGGCATGTGGCTATGGTTGCTTGGTAACCGCATGGAGCCACCACCAGTGTTGGCCGCCATTTCCCAAATCATCCTTTGCTGGGGTCAGATGAGCAAGAGGGGAGCGGGGCCTGGAATCCGCTCTGTAGTATGGGCCCCGTTGCCTCCTCTAATGCCCATCTCTTCTTCCTCGCGATACTGCTGGTGTCCTTGACGAGGGTGGACTTAGCCATAGAGCCCTGCCCAACCCCATGCCGTTGCACCTTGGAGATTCTCAACTGTAGCCGGATCAGCAGCCCTCCGGGACTCCACCGCGTGCCTCTCCCCAAGCCCTTTGGCCATGCTCACGTTTTTTTCTTCTTGTAAGTATTCGAGAACCCGAGAGATGTTCACCCCGCTCCCAGAACTCTTGGAGGCCAAAATGCTTTTTTATTTCAAGGTCCCAGGCCCTAAAGAAGCCAGACTATCCGCCACCAGGGCCAGGGCTTTTTCAGTGATGGCTCCGACCTGGTGGAATACTCTGTCCCACGAGACTAGGGCCCTGCAGGACTTGATCTCCTTCCGCAGGGCCTGTAAGACAGAGCTATTCCGCCTGGCCTTCACTTTGAATTAGCCTGATTCTCTATTCCTTTTTCCCTTTCCTTTTCTATGAAGAAACCCTTCTGGGACCCCACATTTAAACTCTTCCCTGGTCTCCTTGCTGGCCCTAGTAGGACCAACTTGGCCAGTTAGCCCTGGTGATCATTTGATGTTTACTGATTGGGGTTCCCCCCCCCCAAAAAATGACCCCTGAATTTTTGAATTTTACTGACATTGATGCTGCATTTATGTTGTATTTTATGCTGTTTTTAAGTCACATTTTAATAAATGTTTTATATTTGCTGTTAGCTGCCCTGAGCCCAGTTTCTAAACCGGGAAGGGCGGGGTATAAATAAAAATGTATTATTATTATTTAAGACTTAGGGGTGAGCGTGATGGGAGCAGGGGATTTCTGACTCCCAGGCAACCTGAGGGACGACTAGGTAGAGAGCTGGTTGTGTATCTGCCGAGACCTGTAGTATAGGTGTGACCTTCGGGAATCTGCATCCAAGTAGACAAAGGCAAACGACCAAAGGGGGCAGGCTGTCTGGGTTGGTTCACTGCAGGGCAGCTCAGAGACGAGCAGTAACGTTGATTCTTTATTCAAGGAAACGGAATACAAACGAGAAACCTATGGGCATGGCTGGCCCCGTTAAAGCAGTTTCCAGAGCTGATAATCTATGCCTCCCACATCCCCCTATATAGCCTCCTCAGCTGTTTTCCCTGCAGTCTTACTGGAGAGGGACTCCCTGTGCTCTTTGTTCAGCTACATGCAAGGCCCTCCATGCCCTCGGAGACAAGGGAGGAGAGGAGCTGAATACAGAGGGACCAGCAAGCTCCTGTGTAGCTGCTGCAGCCTCTGTCTCCTCAGCTGCCTGTCCTGCGTCTGCAGTGCCTTCTGCCTCTGGTTCCTCTCTCTCACTCAAGCCTGTTGCTTGTTCAGCATCCAACCATTTTGCCTTGCCCTTTTCATCCTCTGGCTTGTCTTGAATGTCCCACCACCACTCCCCTGGCTCTGATCCTTCCTCCTCTGAGTCCTTCCCTAGGGGGCTCAAGGAAAAGAAGGTACATCAGCAAAGATGGGGTTTATCACACCACACCTTCCTCCTGCAGGGCTCATTCAATCGCACATGCTGCCTAAGCAGGTGTCTAGGCCTAGGCCCTAGGGCATCCCTGTTTGGACTCCACATGCCATGACAAGCAGTGTTCAAGACTGGGTTTCTCATGTTGGTATTGGTAGGGCTGGCTTTCTACACAAAATGAGCGCATGCTCCAGGAACATCTAAGTATCTCCACCCTGCTTAAGGTGGTAGAAAACTACAGCCTGTCCTCTCTATAATTTGGGGAGTTCAGCACCACTGTGTTAATTGGCATGAAGAAGCACACCCAATACTTGCTTAGAATGGTTACTGTATTGTTTTTTCCTAGAAGGGCTCCTCCGCTTTTGAACTGGAGGGGAAATGTGACAGTGTAGTTCTCTGCCTCTCCTGCAGCTGCTAATGGTACAGAAGTGCAGGGAAAAATGTGTCATGCCTCTCTCTCGGTTATTTGCAGTAGATTGGCAGGGATTATTCTCAGTTGTTTTAATAATTGCAACCGCAAAATGACACCCACCCATAGTTAGCCTGCTATTTCAAAAAAGTGGAAATACGGACACAAAAGTTGTTGAGCGTTTGGCAAAGTGGAGTTGTTGAACTATTCTTTATGAAGTTCGTCAAGACACGGGCTGCCATACTTCTGGATTTTCCTGGACCCTTTGGCGATTTCTACCTGGACACTGTTTATGAGGGCTGTATATGGACCATGTCCAGGAAATTCTGGACTTATGGCAACCATAGGTAGCTAGGCATGGATTTGGGTGTGGAAGGACTGTGAGCTTCAGGTCTGGGTACTCTAAAAACAACCCCAACTAAAGCAGCTGCTGAGAGGCACCATGTTCTTTTGCGTCTAGCTGAATGTCCTTGCACCGAACTCTGAAGTTTGCCTTCCCCTGCCATTCATGGAGGAGAAGGGTGACCCTAAGGAAAATATTCAGCAGGACTGGGGAACCTTAAGGTCCAGCGGGCAAACTGGGGCTCCTCCTGGGCCGCACATCTCCCCGGGCCTGCTCTGCACCCCTTCTCCCCCTTGAGTACTTCCACCTGGCTAGAGTGTGTACATGAACTGCCATAATGCCTGGACGAAATTGGAGGGTTGTGTAGAAATCTCTGATTTGTGTTGGCTGGAATGTAGCCTATAGTGAGAATTCATTCTTCTACTCAATTTGCCTCGGATCCAGCTCTGGCCCCTGGAAGGTCCCACTCAGGGGAATGTGGCCCTGGGTTTGAAAAATGAACCTCTGCTATGCACATTTTAACAGAAGAGTATGGATCTATTTGCACCAGCTCTTCCTAAGACCTTCTTTCCTAGAAACCATCAACACAGAGGAGAAGTGCTCCTGGGCAGGGGTGGAGTTCATCTCCTCTCGGTCATTGCCCCCATAAATGTGAGACTTCCAGGTTCAGGAAACAGTGTTCTGTGGAGGCTTGGAACACTGTACGTCTGGAAATTTGACTTTCAGGATGCCAGATAAACATGACAAACGAAAGATGCAGAGTTCATTTTCCCACATCAGGAGTATCCGTTTAATTTTCGTTCCCCCATGTTTATTATTTTCCCCAGAGACTTCACTGATAATGCGATTTCTTCCATTGGGAAACAGGTGTGGAGGGCCTATCCTTGGGCTGAGTACTTGTGAGTATTATTTAGAGTCGTCAGTGAGTACCTATCCTAGCCTTGGTTTTGGCCAGTTTCAGTCATGGTGGTTTTTGGTTTTAAGTTATTGGCACTTGACCGACAACTAAGGCCACATTCAAACTATACATTTAAAGAAGGCACTATGATCCCACTTCAAACAGTCATGGCTTCCACCAAACAATTCTAGGAGCTGTCGTTTGCTAGAGGTGCTGAACAGGGCCAGTCCAAGACATTTTGGCACCTGAGGCGAACCATAAAATGGTACCCCGCTTCCAGCCAGGGGTGAATGAAAATCTACATCAGGAACGGGAGCTGGGGAATAAAGGTCTACTTTGGGGTCTGCTGCCCCCGTGGATCCTGCTGCCTGAGGCAGTCGCCTCACCTCGCCTCATGGGTGGGCCGGCCCTGGTGATGAGAATTGTTAGGAGATTCCTATTCCCCTCACCAAGCTGTTCTCCCTGTGGAGAGGGATTGATATACAGTGGTACTTCGGGTTAAGTACAGTGGTACCTTGGGTTAAGTACTTAATTCGTTCCGGAGGTCCGTTCTTAACCTGAAACTGTTCTTAACCTGAAGCACCACTTTAGCTAATGGAGCCTCCGCCAGAGCACGATTTCTGTTCTCATCCTGAAGCAAAGTTCTTAACCTGAAGCACTATTTCTGGGTTAGTGGAGTCTGTAACCTGAAGCGTATGTAACCTGAAGCGTATGTAACCTGAGGTACCATTGTACTACCCTGGGAATTACAGTTCTGTGAGGGGAATAGGGATCTCCTAACAACCCTCAGCACCCTTAACAAACTATAGCTCCCAGAAGACTTGGGGGGAAGCCATGATTGTGGGATCATGGGCCTTTAAATGTGTGGTGTGAATGTGGCATGAGCTGGGCGAGATCAAGGCAAAAGACCTTGATCTAGCTAGATGAAGTTCAGTTATGCTGCAAATCAATTTGAAAGCTTAGGGTAGTTGGGACAGAGTCCCTGCATGTTTGTGGAAGTTTTGTGAGGTAATAAATATACATTTGTCAGAACCATAGCTGTCAACGTTTCCCTTTTTTTAAGGGAAATTCCCTTATTCCGAATAGGATTCCTCGCAAGAAAAGGGAAAAGTTGACAGCTATGGTCTAAATCCGAGGTAGTAGAAAGCTCCCAGTTAAGAAAATTGCTTCCATTGCCAGAGTATTGTACTCAGAAATCCCCAAACATGACAAATAGATTGATACAACTTTTGAAAGCAGGGTCAACACAGAGCATCTTAATCCAGGCGGCGTGAGTAAGGGGCTAGGAATGAGGAACAAATTCAGTTCAGTTGTCATTTAAAGGCAAAACAACCTAATATATACTTTCTGAAACAATAAGTAAGTGAACTAAAGCACATCCCAGCCTCCTGAATTCACGCTTTCCCAAATTTTGCAAATGTGCATATTAGGACTGGGGAAATCTAGCTCCAGTCCAACGATGGAGATCCACCTCTGTAAGCAGCTTTCAGGAAAGCGGATTTGCATCTCCATTATGAAAGTGATTTGGGCCATTGTTTTGACGTGCAGGAGGTGGATGTGAGTCTCCACCTGGAGCCAGTTGCTGTGCATGGCAAGTTGCTCATGGCTGCAGCTGGGCCTGAGTCTGCAAGTGCAGAAGGACTGTGCTTTGGTTATGCCCGTTCTGTTAAGGCAGAAAACATGGCTGTGACTTTGTTTCCACCTCTCCAGGGTCCTCAAGAGCAACAGCCTGAGCAGACTTCAGAATACCTCTCTGGATGGCTTGCTTTCCCTTACTCACCTGTAAGTTTCTGCGTCTGGTTGCAGTAATTTATAGGCTTTATAGTTTCAGCATGCCACCTTTCTTATGGAAGTAATATAATGTCCCATCTCCATGTCGTTCAAAGCTTCATCAGTGGTGGCAGGTAACATTTTGACTTGGTAGGGCTGCGATTGTTAACCTTGCTGTTTTTCATCAAAGTAGGAATTCCAGACAAGATTTATTCCATACCTCTTATTCAGAAGCTAAGTCATACCGCATGGTAGAAGTTTTTGAATTTGTGTATTTTTTACGCCAACGTGTGAATTTCCAAAAAGCTAATCAAACACACAAAAACTTTCAAAAGTTGAGGAACACTTTCTGCTGGCATCAAATTTCAACATCGAAATAAGAATATACAAGTGACAAAGAGATCTTTACCACATGTCTCTGGACAGGAAAACCATAGATTTGGAAGGGACCTAAAGAATCATCTAGTGTTGGGTTGCCATATTTCAAAAAGTGAAAATCCAGACACAAAATTTGTTGAGTTGTTTTTTCTTTTCTTTTTTTGCCCAAAGTTGTTGCAAAATCTCAAGTAAGTTTTTCAGCTATTTTTAAGCAAATTTGCCAAAATCTAGACTTCTGACACGGGTTGTCATACGTCCAGATTTTCCTCCTGCACACTGTTTCCAAATGACATATTCAGGCTATGTCCAGGAAATTCCTGACGTATGGCAACCCTAATTTCTAGTCTAAATCCTGTAAGTGCAGAAATCCTGCCCACAGCCAGCCGTGGGTGGGCCCAAAACACCAACATTCTGGTTAACATCCATACACACAGACCCACTGATTATTTCAAAGAAGCCATAACTAACATTAACCACAATTTATCCAGGTCTAGGCAAAATCATCATCATCATCAAACCTTTTTTTGGCATCACATACAAACATCCATAGCAAATCAATACAGAATTCCCACCTTCTAGGCAAAATGGCAAGCTGCAGTTAAGCAAAAACAGAAACAAAAGATTCCAAATTCTTAAAGGCTTTGCTGAAGGAGCAGAGGGGAGGGTATGAGTCTGAGATTCACCTAGGCTTGCTCACAAATGGCAGCCAAACAGCAGGCTTGCAATGGAATTTAGTACATTCCGTTTTTTAGCCATGCTTTGAGCCAACCAAAGCAGATGAATCTGTTGAATTTTGAATTCTTGCGAAATTTAATTTGCGGTGCTAGAAATTTCAAAATCTGAAATGTCCTATCAGAGATCAGAAACACATCCAGTTTTCAGATTTGTGGAGAAAGATAAAAAAGAAGACAAAATCAGGTTGGCATATGGAAAAGTAAATAGCCTACATTGCTTTGCCACATCTATCTCCCAACTCGTAAGAGATCTGTCTAGGCAAGCATCTTGACACATAAGTGGCCAGACACATACCTCCAGAAAGCTAATAAGCAGAGCCCGAAGGTGACAGTCTTCTCCCAAGGTTTGTCCTTAACATCTGATATTTCAAGGTATACTGCCTCTGTGCATGAAGGTTCCATTTAGCTGTCCTGGCTAATACTATTACAGTGATGTCATAAACATGAGTCAAGCTACAAGGATGGATCCATGGAGGAACAACTGTATAAGTACGTTTTGCTCATAGCTGTCAAGTGTCCCTTATTTGGTGGGACAGTCCCTTATCCCAGCCCCATGTCCTGCTGCTGTCCCTTATTGATGAGGCTTCATTTGGCTGCTGGCTAGGCTTTCTGCCTTTGGCTCAGAGAGGCTCAGAAGTTGAACATACCTGTGCCCAGAAAATCCCTTATTTTGGCTGCTGATCCCTTATTTTCGAGGCTGCTGGTCCCTTATTTTCAAATCTGTAAGTTGACAGCTATGGTTTTGCTATATGCCACATTCTGTGCAGATTCCACTCTGGATAGTGCTAAAGGATTGTTGACCTTTATTAAAGCTGACTAAACTAGGCCAAAAGCATCAGGCCAAAAAAAATGTCAAAAGCAGAAACCATGGGATGGACATGTCTTTCTTATAGTCTCTAGTTTGATAAGCTCTGTGTGCTGTCTTAAACAGGGACTTGTCGTGCAATAAAATCCACTTCATTGAGAAAAACGCCTTTGAACCTGTCCCGTTTCTGCAATTTATGTAAGTTGTTGGGTTGTGTAAAATGGTCTTTTCTGGGAGCGGGGGAGCAGCAGAAATGGAATGGCTTTCAGCCCCCCAAGTCCTGAATCTGCCAAGGCCCTGCCCTGGAAGTAATTTCCCACCCCCAAATATTTCTAAAAGTGCTGGGGGTCAAGTCTGCTGGGGGTGGGGGAAATACATTATCTCTGGAAGCCCTGCCCCATGATCCCAGATGGGATGGGGTGACTCGTTGGGGGGAAAGTGACCTCTGTGCATGCTCAGAGGTACCCCGAACAATGTGATTTATATGAATCAGACTGGAATTCTGAAGCAGTGGGGTTAAGTCAGGGTTCAGTCCTAGAACTGATTCTATGTCCAGTCCTGGTAACTTGGAAAACGCTAACAAGACTCTGAACAGCTTCCAGGAGGACTTAAGTAAAAATACCCCTTAGAGATCTGTCCCAGAGTTCTGCCAGAAGAGAAACTGGCAATGGAAATTGAAGGGGTCAGTACTGGGGGAAAGGGGGAGTCAGGGGAGGCCGTTGGAGCAGGGGAGAGAATATGGGATGACCCTCATGTTATGTTACAGCAGCTCAGAGTGAGAATTGATATCCACTACTGGACAGGGATAGCAGGACGCGGGTGACGCTGTGGGTTAAACCACAGAGCCTAGGGCTTGCCGATCAGAAGGTCGGCGGTTTGAATCCCCGCAACGGGGTGAGCTCCCGTTGCTCGGTCCCTGCTCCTGCCAACCTAGCAGTTCGAAAGCACGTCAAAGTGCAAGTAGATAAATAGGTACCACTCCGGCAGGAAGGTAAACGGCGTTTCCGTGCACTGCTCTGGTTCGCCAGAAGCGGCTTAGGCATGCTGGCCACATGACCCGGAAGCTGTACGCCGGCTCCCTCAGTCAATAAAGCGAGATGAGCGCTGCAACCCCAGATTCGCGACTGGACCTAATGGTCAGGGGTCCATTTACCTTTACCTTACTGGACAGGGATGGGGGCGGGGAGAGCTAATGTTTGTACAAATGCAAAGTCCTATACACCACGATTGCTTTTGTTTCCCTTCACAGAAATCTCAGCGGCAACGTTATTGGGCGGATCACGCAAGGGGCGTTTGAGGCCTGGCACGGAATGCAGTTTTTGCTCAAGATGTAAGTGAAATCAAAACCTGCAAGGGCTTGAGAGCAGCCAGCCTCTAGGGCAGGGGTAGGCAACCTAAGGCCCGTGGGCCGGATGCGGCCCAATCGCTTTCTCAATCTGGCCCACGGACGGTCTGGGAACCAGCGTGTTTTTACATGAGTAGAATGTATCCTTTTATTTAAAGTGCATCTCTGGGTTATTTGTGGGGCCTGCCTGGTGTTTTGACATGAGTAGAATGTGTGCTTTTATTTAAAATGCATCTCTGGGTTATTTGTGGGGTATAGGAATTTGTTCATTTTTTTCTTCAAAATATTGTCCGGCCCACCACATGGTCTGAGGGATGGTGGACCGGCCCACGGCTGAAAAAGGTTGCTGACCCCTGCTCTAGCGCCTGAGCAACATTAGTGAGGAAATACCGTATTTTTCGCCCCATAGGACGCACCGCCCCATAGGACGCACCTAATTTTTTTGGGGGGGGGGAATAAAGAAAAAAAAATTTTCCCTCCCCAGGCACGGGGCAGGCGCGGGGGAAGCCCGAGCTTCCCCCGACCCCAGCCCCCAGAACAGCCTGCTATCCGCAAGCCTAGGGAACCGAGCCGGTCTTCCCAGGCTTGTGGAGATGTGCGCGAAGCCCGGGCGCGCTCTTCAGCGCGCACCAGGCTTCGGAATGCAGGTAGCTCTGCGCTACTCTCCGGAGCCCCGCGCGCCGCGCCGGGATCGGGAGGGTGGCGCGGAGCTGCAGGAAGCCCTGGAGCACGGGCAGCTCCGCGCCACCCTCCGGAGCCCCCGCACGGCCTCGCGCCGGGATCCGGAGGGTGGCGCGGAGCTGCAAGAAGCCCTGGAGCGCAGGCAGCTCTGCGCCACCCTCCGGAGCCCCGCGCGGCTTCACGCCGGGATCGGGAGGGTGGCGCGGAGCTGCAGGAAGCCCGGGAAAGCCTGCATTCGCCCCATAGGACACACACACATTTCCCCTTCATTTTTGGAGGGGAAAAAGTGCGTCCTATAGAGCGAAAAATACGGTACTGTTTTGAATGAGTTATCAACATGCAACACCAGATGGCGCCAGAAGATAAAAGAAATTCTACGCAATTTTCTCTACCGTTTTTTCCCCTTTTGTTGTAACGATTTAATTTCTGGCTTATTTAAAGCATGTTTTCCCTGTGTGTGTAGATCCACCCTCGCACACAACCCAAAACGGTGTGTCAGCAATTAATGTCTTTAGGGTAATGCTGAAAGTACTCTGCTTGCCTTTGACCTTCCTTCAGCCCTCAACAATAGTTCTGAATTGCAGCCCTCGGCCCTGCAAGATGTGGCATGTAGTTGTAAGGAAGAAAGGGCCTCTGAGCATGTGCAGAGAACTGCTTTCTTGTCACGGTGTAACCAGAGCCCTTCAGGACATATATTCAGGGTCAACAAAAAAAAGTGTTTATATCAGAAGTGAGAGCTTTGAAATTGCCTTAAGCCCAGTGTTTTTCTCCTCCTAAAAGTATAAATCACCGATACCAGGGTTGGTGCAGGGCTGGCCCTCCAAATGTCCCTATTTTCCATGGACAGTTCCAGATTTACAGAAGCCTATTATTATGGAATAGGACACCCCTGTTTTCATCAGAGAAATGTTGGAGGGTATGTTAATTCAGGCGTAGTTAACCTCCAGGTATTGTTGGACTCCCAGCAATGGCTTGGGTGGGGAACATGGAGGCAGTGGCATTTCTACCCAAGGTGGAAATTTTGCGTGTGCCAAGGCACCCAGCCCCCCCACCAGATGACGCCTACGCTAGGTGGCTTCCAGGATATATAAAAACAGAATAAAACATTGTCTTCTAAAGGTTGTATAGTTGCTTATCTCCTTAGCTCGAGGGTCGCATAACTCCATACCCTCCAATATTTCTCTGATGAAAATAGGGATGACTTACCATACCTTCCAATACATCTCCAATGACAATAAAAGGTAAAGGGACCCCTGACCATTAGGTCCAGTCGTGACTGACTCTGGGGTTGCAGTGCTCATCTCGCTTTATTGGCCGAGGGAGCCGGTGTGCAGCTTCTGGGTCATGTGACCAGCATGACTAAGCCGCTTCTGGCGAATCAGAGCAGCGCACGGAAACGCCGTTTACCTTCCCGCTGGAGTGGTACCTATTTATCTACTTGCACTTTGACGTGCTTTCGAACTGCTAAGTTGGCAGGAGCAGGGACCGAGCAATGGGAGCTCACCCCGTCGCAGGGATTTGAACCGCCGACCTTCTGATCTGCAAGCCCTAGCCTCTGTGGTTTAACCCACAGCGCCACCCGCGTCCCTTCTAATGAAAATAGAGACATCCTAAAGAAAATCATGCTATTCCGGGATCAAATCAGAAACCGGGATGGCTTCTGTAAATCTAGGGCTGTTGCTGGAAAATAGGGACACTTGGAAGGTCTGAAGTTTTTAATGTTTGACTTTTTGCTATGTTTTTATATGTGCTGTAAGCCACGCAGAGTGCTGGGGAAACCCAGCCAGATGGATGGGGAATAAATAATAAAATGACAATAATAATTGATGATGATGAATGGCTTCCATATTTCCACACAGAGCCCCATAATCTCTCTTTAAAACTTTAGAATTTCACAGTATCTCTAATGACAGACTATTGCTCTGTGCAGTTCATCTGTTTGAGGCTGCAAACTGCCTTGGTCTAGCCAGGTATTTTTAAGCGGCTGGTTTTGTTTGCTTTTTAAGCTGGTTACAACAACCAGTTCCCTTTCCCCGGTTTTTCTGCAGGGTTCTCAACCATAATCCGCTAACGGTCATTGAAGATGCCCGTTTTTACAAACTGCCCTCGCTGAAGTTCCTGTAAGTACCTGAAATACATTTGCTTGCGTCTTCGCTGGGGATTTTTCTACTACAGAAGCTACTATTTGGGTTTGCTTGGGTTGCGAGGAGCCTCATCCTTCTTCCTCCTGTTATTTTTGTCACGGTAACGCCTGAAGAGCCAAAGCGGTATAGTGGTTAGACTGCTAGACTAGGGCAAGGGAGCCCTGAGTTCAAGTCTGGACTCAGTCATGATGCAGACTTAATGACTATTGGTTGGTTGGTTGCTATGGCCACTGGTCCCATCACTTCCTGGCAAATAGAAGGGGAAGAAATGGAGACAGTGAGAGATTTCACTTTCTTGGGCTCCATGATCACTGCAGATGGTGACAGCAGCCACGAAATTAAAAGACGCCTGCTTCTTGGGAGAAAAGCAATGACAAACCTAGACAGCATCTTAAAAAGCAGAGACATCACCTTGCCGACAAAGGTCCGTATAGTAAAAGCTATGGTTTTCCCAGTAGTGATGTATGGAACTGAGAGCTGGACCATAAAGAAGGCTGATTGCCGAAGAATTGATGCTTTTGAATTATGGTGCTGGAGGAGACTCTTGAGAGTCCCATGGATTGCAAGAAGATCAAACCTGAAGGAAATCAGCCCTGAGTGCTCACTGGAAGGACAGATCCTGAAGCTGAGGCTCCAGTAGTTTGGCCACCTCATGAGAAGAGAAGACTCCCTGGAAAAGACCCTGATGCTGGGAAAGATGGAGGGCACAAGGAGAAAGGGACGACAGAGGACGAGATGGTTGGACAGTGTTCTCAAAGCTACCAGCATGAGTTTGACCAAACTGTGGGAGGCAGTGGAAGACAGGAGTGCCTGGCATGCTCTGGTCCATGGGGTCACGAAGGGTTGGACACGACTAAACAACCAGCAGCAACAACATTTTCTCAAATCCTCTGCCTCACAGGACTGTTGTGAATACTAAATTGGTCAGAGATCGGTGAGGGAGTCATGTACGCTTCCTTGAATAACTTTGAGGAAAGGATGGATGGCAATGTTAACAAAGATAAAGGAAATTTAAAAATACATCTAAATTAACTGCTTGATAGCGCCTCTGAGTAACTCTCATAGTTAAAGGCATTCCCCTGCAGCCCAGTTTTCCTGCCAGGCCTGAGCCACAAAATGTGTGAATATATAAAAAGGAGAGTGGTTGTCTCTGAGCACGCACAGATTGCAGTGTTTAATTTTGACTGAAAACTAGTTTTTTTTTGTTCCTGGAACACATAAGTGAATGATAAGGGCCTTCTTGGTAGTGATACCCGCCCTGTGGAGCACTCTCCTGTCAAATGTCAAAGAGGTAAATAATTATATGACTTTCCGTAGACGTCTGAAGGAAGCTTTTCATGTGTGATGTTCTGTTGGGTTTTTGTATATTCTGTTGGAAGTCCAGAATGGCTGGAGCAACCCAGTCAGATGGGCGGGGAGAAGAAGAAGAAGAAGAAGAAGAAGAAGAAGAAGAAGAAGAAGAAGAAGAAGAAGAAGAAAAAGAAGGAGGAGGAGGAGGAGGAGGAGGAAGTCAACTGCCTTTGATCATATGTTTAGGTTGCTTTTGTGAATCACTGAGGAACCTAGATCAGCCCAATGTAATACAGGGAATGGAAAGAAATTTGGTTCGGTTCCCATTTTAATGCAGCAAAACACAGCTATGCAGTTCTCCAGCTAAAAAAAAAAAGTGTGCATGTTAAAGGAAAGTTTGCATAAAAATGATTATATTAGTGAAAACAACATAAAAGAATGCATTGCATTAAGAAAAAATGTTTTCAAAAATGTGTCTATAAGAATTAACACACACTAAAACGGTAACAAGTTTTGGTGAGTAAGGACCGTTGTTGTTTTTAATGCAAAATATGCAGAAATGTGGCAAACTGAAGATTTAAAAAATGAGAAACAGAGAGAAAGACACAACTGATAGATTTTTACATCCCTAATTAGTGCCTGGAATCCAAATTTCCAGTCAAAAGCATGACTCCTAGGCCAGGCTGAGTTGAGGGATCAAGCTTGCTTCAAAGCCACCAACTTTATCAGAAAGTTTTCATCTCCACACCCCAGATGCATAGGCACAGACTGTTCTTAGTCAGTGGCAAAAGAAATGAACTCTGCATGTGCTTTGAGGCACTCTTGTCTTTAGTGTCCAATAGGTGGCAAGGACTGAGCCTCAGGCTCTCTCTCTTCCCATTCTGCATGATGTGGAGCTGTGTATAATTCAGAAGCAGCAAACCTTTTTCCCTGTAGAAGCTGCCCCAGTGAAAACGATGGCCTTTTTGACGCTTTTCATTGTTACTTCTCACAATTGCATCCCATCCTTTCTCTGAGGCACGGGGTTAATGCCATTTCATCCTCTCAACAACCCTGTAGGGTAGGCCAGTCTAGTCTAAGACATAATTGACCAGACTGAGGTCACCCAGTGAATTTCGTTAAACCTACTACGCAAGGTGCTCCATCTTTTATATCTCTTGGTATGCCTTGGCGTTTAGCACAGCAAAGACTCTCGCGTCCTTTTTCCAGGGACCTTGGTGCCACTGATGTGACCCCAGAGATATTGGAGGCGCTTCTCAGAACTTGCCTGCAACTGAAAACTCTGTAAGTATCGTGTGTGACCCTTTTCTTTTGCTGGGGTCCAAGAGTGAGAAGTAAGAACTGAAAATGGCAGCTAATCTTATCTTACCTACCTTTTTCCTTTCTGCTCCTCCTGTTGTCATTCAAGTATCTGGGCTGTTTGCGCTCAGATTGCTGGTAAATTGCAACGAGAAGAGGCTAAAGATGTTTGTCGTTTTTCCATCTGCAGCATCTTGCCCAAAAAGATGGCCTGTTGCCTCTGCCATATTCAAGACGACATTGAGCTTTTGTGTGAGTCGGTCAAGTTGGATTGTGCCAACACATGTACCGCTAACGTCACTTTGTGTGGTAGGTTTTTAAAAAAATTAAATGTTTGCTTCTGTTTGTCTAGTTTCAAAGGCTGGGTAGACACTATACCTCCATTTTCAAATGTAATCCATTCCAGAAGACCGTTCGACTTCCAAAACGTTCAAAAACTAAAGCATGCATTTCCGGAAGCATTTACATCCGGAAAACTCAATACGGAAGCCACGTGGCACATTCAGCTTCCAAAAAGCGTTCAGAAACCGAAGCAGGTTTTTGGCGTTTGGAAGCCGAAACGTTTGACTTCCGAGACGTTCGAAAACCGAGGTACCACTGTATCTTTAAAGCAAATGTGAAGCACAATCGTTCCCTCAAAGAATTCTGGGCCTTGTGGTTTGTTAAGGGTTTCTGGGAACTGTAACTCTGTGAGGGGCAAACCACACTACCCAGAATTCCTCAAGGGGAAGAATGTGCTTTAATGGTATCGTGTGCAACCCAGCCTAAGGGGGGGAAATGTTGGGAAATGGAACACGTTAACAAATGACGCCAGAAACGCCAGTGTTCAAAATGGGACCAAAATCTAAACAAATCCACAAAGTGCAATCTTTTTGCCCCCAGAATCCTGCATTTAGGCTCTTCCTCCACATTTCTAATTGGCCGTGGTTGACCTTCTAAAAGGAAACTTACCGTATTTTTCGCCCTATAGGACGCACTTTTTCCCCTCCAAAAATGAAGGGGGAATGTGTGTGCGTCCTATGGGGCAAATGCAGGCTTTCGCTGAAGCCTGAAGAGCGAGAGGGGTCGGTGCGCACCGACCCCTCTTGCTCTCCAGGCTTCAGGAAGCTCTGCGCAACCCTCGGGAGACCAGCACGACTTTGCGCCGGGCTCCCGAGGGCTGCGCAGAGCTGCCTGCAATCCCGGGCTTCGCACAGCTCTGCGCAACGCTAGGGAGCCTGGTGCGAAGTCGCGCCAGTCTCTCGAGGGTTGCGCAGAGCTGCCTGCATTCTGAAGCCTGGGGCACGCTGAAGAGCGCGCCCGGGCTTCGCGCAGCTCTCCGCAAGCCTCCCTAGGCTTGCGGATAGCAGGCTGTTCTCGGGGCTGGGGTCAGGGGGGGGAAATAATTTTGTTTTCTTTATTCCCCCCCCAAAAAACTAGGTGCATCCCATGGGGCGGTGCGTCCTATGGGGCGAAAAATACGGTAACTGAAATAAACGGTTTATTTAAAAGCTTACAGGTTCAGAGTAATACAGAACCTGTAAAAAACTAACACAAAGGGTGGTCAGATAAAACAGAGGCATGCAAGTGGTGCTAGATTTGCAGTAGCATTGCCCCAAAATAACAGGGCTGAGGGGAAAAACACACACACATTTGCCCCATTGAATTCAGTGGGGCTTACTCCCAGGTAGAAGTAAGAATCCTGGGAACTGTAGCTCACCCTTTTACAGAACTATGATTCCCAGGAACCCTGAACAATTCGAAGTTCTCAGGATTCCTTGAAGGGAAGCCGTGTGATTTCGATGTATTTGTCCCATTTCCAAGTTCCCTTCCTGAAGCTCACAGGACAACTCTGTTGTTCTTTCCTTGTTCTTCTTTTTCCGAGCAGAGAAAGAGGAGGCGATGAACAAGATGCAAGAAGATGTCATAAAGGTGTTGGAAACCAGGAAGCTGAACGACAGCGGCAGCACCCTGAACATTTTGCCCGAGAGGTCTTTCCGTGCCAACCTCACTCTGACCCTCTCGGCCACCGAGGGCAAGTCTCACTTGGACCTCCATTTCCACCGACTCCCCACCAGCCTTTTCGAATCCGTCAAGGGCTTCAAAAAGCTGAAAAGCGAGGACCTCCTGGATGTGAAGTGGGCTGATCAGAGCGAGCTGAAGAAGCTGTACCTGCTGGCCAACTTGCTGCAGGTGGCGCTCAAAGAAAAAATCGCAGAAGACGAAAGGGAGAGTCAAGGCGGGCCACAGCCGGCTCAGGAGCCTCCGAAAACACAGCAGGCTACAAGGGCTGCCCAAGGGAAGGGAAGACACCTAAGAAGGGTGAGAAGAGAAACCCCAAGATGGGTGGAGTCGTTTCTCAGGGCTGGCAGAGAGAGGCGAGAATTTGCAGAGTCTGCCAAGCAGCATGCGGGGCAGCAAAGCAGCACAGATTCCCCTGCTAGGCCTCGGAACTGGAGGAAGCTAGCCGGGGGTCTAGAGCCTCTAAGTATGGCTAGACTCCGCCGAGCAGCTCTTGGTTCCTCTTGGAAACGCTCCGCCGGACAGTACCCGACCCAGTCCCCTCCCTTGACCGCCTCCATCATGGTGGACGAGAATCCCGAAGACATGACAGGCAAGGTAGTGATTATCTTGAAGCACCCCAACAAAACCAGCAGCGCAGAGCAGGGAGAGCAAAGCCCTGCTGTGAAGGAGGAGGTGCAAGTAGTACCTAACCCGGTGTCACCCGCCGAGGCTCAGCCGGCCGTCGAGGTTCAGCCAGCCGCCGAGGCCCAACCTGCCGCCGAGGCCCAACCTCCCGTCGCATCTCCACGTGAAGAGAGCACAGACAAGTCGGAGGAAATTTTGCGGGAGCGCCTCGAGTCTGAGATATTGAAGAAGGAGGAGCTGCTCAGCCAGCTGATGAAAGAAGATAAATCCAAGCCCCCGCCCGACGACTCGGAAACCTTGAACGAGATCTCCCCTGACATCACCTTGTCGCAAGAGACGCACTGGGAGCACCACGAGCAGAGGACCACGTATTCCCCGCGCCTTCAGCTCTTGCCAGCTCCAGACGACTATTTGCTTCAGGGCGACCTCTTTGAAGCGGAGCTGAACAAGCGTTTGGAGCCCCTCATCCCCAATGCGCCGGTGAGGAACCTCATCTCCCACGTGATCCGCATCTTGAAGATGGACTGCACAGAACCCGCCATCCAGCTGGCTTGTGCTAAGCTCATCTCCAGGACAGGTCTCCTCATGAAGCTCTTCAGCGAGAGAGAAAACATCAAGGAGACCACCTCCCTGTGGAAGTCGTACCTTTGGTCTGCCAAGAATACAGCCAACAAGACCACGTTGAGCCCAAGGAAAATGGGGAAACCTTCCGACGAGGTAAGGCAGCTTCCGCCAACCTGGTGCTTTCCAGATGGCACTGAGTTACAAATTCCATCGTCTCTAATCATTGGCTATGCTGGTTGGGACTGATGGAAGTTGTGATCTGAAGACTACAGTCCAAAGTTGCAGAAGAGTGTGGGAATGTTGTGGATAGTAGAAGAGGACATATTGATTAAATATTATCCTTCCTAACTCACGCTAGTGAGTCATATATATACAGTGGTACCTCGGGTTAAATACTTAATTTGTTCCGGAGGTCCGTACTTAAACTGAAACTGTTCTTAACCTGAAGCACCACTTTAGCTAATGGGGCCTCCTGCTGCTGCTGCGTCGCCAGAGCAAGATTTCTGTTCTCATCCTGAAGCAAAGTTCTTAACCTGAAGCACTATTTCTGGGTTAGTGGAGCCTGTAACCTGAAGCGTCTGTAACCCGAGTTACCACTGTATAGCAGAGCTCATTCCCCATTTTACACAGCAAGAAGCTAGTTGCAGATTCGTTTGAATCTATTTAGTCAAACAATCCAATCTGGCATGCCCAGATTGGAGTATATTCCTGGGAAGACCCCTTTGATTCTCTCCTTAAAAGAATACAGAGTCTTCCTTATAAGTAATGAAAAGTTTACTCCCATTCAGTTCATAGTATGATCCCTGAAGGCAGGCTTTAGCTTGTAGCGACAGATACAGTGTGGCTTACATCCTTGTAGGAATGGGCCCATGTGCTGCTGGCAGAGAGCCAGCAGACAGCATCAGGAGCAGTGGCCAAAGTGAAAGAGAGCGTCAAAAGAGAGATGGCTGCCTGACCAGCTCCTTTTATGGGGTCTCCCAGGGTCACGCCCACTACCTGGTCACACGCAGGGAGAGGCTGCTCCAGACCATGTGTGACAGGAAGTCCTCCTGGCTGGAGTAACACCCCCCTGCGTGTCCACTCTGGGCAAACAGGAAGTGTTGTACTTGATTGCTTATGTTACATCCCACAAAGACTGAGGTAAGGGGCAAGTGTAGGCAAGCCTACCAGTGGTCTCTCAGAAGGTTGGCCAAAGCCCTGCTTAGTTGGGTGTGCTCCTACAGTCTGTTTGCTCCAGGGATTGATTTGGCGTAGGTTTCTGGGAAGATTCGTTCTTACGCTTTAAACGCACTTCATAAGGGAGAAAGGAGAGGCAAAAAATTATTGATGTAGGCAGGCGATGCAGAGGTCCTTTGGCTGCCTCTGAGAAGGTCCATAGCTTTGTGGTGAACCACATGGTTAGTGTTAAGTTGTGGGTGAACATATCAGACGACACAGCGATTCTTCAAACAGCTCTTGTTTATTCACAGGCCAGGACAGAACTGAACTGAAGGGTTCAGTCAGCCTGCTTATATAGAGCTCCAGTACAACGTAACTGTAACAATTTTCTAAAACTACCCAATCACTGAACGTCACTTTCGACCCCTTATTTGCATAACTATCTACAGTATCCCCCTGCTGGCCCAGGGTGAGAACTTCAGTACATAACAGTTAGCATACAGAAGAACCCAGATATAGGGGTTGTGCATTCTGCATTGTGCTCCTCTGATTCTTCCGTCGGTGACAGTATTTGTGCTTGTCAGGTGGATTCACTCCCCTGCTCTCCTGCACTGTTCTCCGGACCCTCCAGAGAAGATTCGGGGGAGATGCACGGAGTGTGCAGAGGGAAGAAGTTGGAAGCCGCATCGCAGTAGCAGAAAACCTTGTGCCAGCTTCTGCTGGCGTACGTGTTTAATTGAATCCAGGCCTCCATCCCTGGCATCGGTAGTTAAATATATCCCGGGCAATAAGGAAAAACATTGGTTGCCAGATTCAATAGGCTGGGATTCATGGATCAAAATCTGATTCTAGTACAGTGGTACCTCAGGTTACAGACACTTCAGGTTACAGACTCTGCTAACCCAGAAATAGTACCTCAGGTTAAGAACTTTACCTCAGTTTGAGAACAGAAATCGCACGGCGGCAGTGGGAGGCCCCATTATCTAAAGTGGTGCTTCAGGTGAAGAACAGTTTCAGATTAAGAACGGACCTCCAGAACAAATTAAGTTCTTAACCTGAGGTACCATTGTATAAGGCAGCTTTTTTGTGTTTGTATGAGTTCAAGCCACCCTCAAACAGTGTTTGTGGCTGATGAAAGGAGAGAAACACAGAAAAAGCCAACTGCCTTATATTACTTTCTTTTGTCCAATCTTTCAGATAGCGAGGCAGGGGATTCCAGAATATGGGTACGGCAACAAGTTGTTGCTGGCTATTTCAGTGACGGCTGTGATAATGATTATCATTGCAGTAATTTGCCTGATTGAGGTAAGCTAAAAACCTGTTGTTGTTGTTGTTGTTGTTCTTTTAAAAATCCTTATTTTGATCTCTTAACTTGCCATATATTCCATTGCTTTGAATGGGTAGCATATATCCCCATAACACACTATATTCTGCTGTTGTGGAAGGACTAACACCCTGCTGGTTATAACACCTTGTTCTTCGCCTTAATTTAAGCCAGAGTTACACATAAGGATGAAGAATCTGTCAATTTTAGTTCTCTTATTTTCTCATTTTTTCCAGTCTTAAATGCACTTTCCCACTTTTTACAGCAATTAGTGACATTTTTTAAAAAAAGAAATCTTATTAAACATATTTGTATACCTAATTTTGGCTGATGCGCTGATTTTTGCCATTAATACAATGCATTTTTGTTTGTTGTTTTCACTAATATGTTTATTTTTATGCCCACATCCCCTCAATATATGCATTTTCTTCCCTAAGCACGGTTAGGGTTTGAGAACTGCTTTGCAAAATTTAAATAACTGTGAATTTTGAAGTATAGCTTTGTTTTGGCTCATGAACCGTTTCAGAAAGTGTGAATTTGCACTGTATTTAAATGTGCACTGAATCAATTTCCCCCTCCATCCCTAACACACACACACACACACACACACACACACACATATCTCTTCTGAAACGGGTCTTCTGCTTCTATAATGTCAAGGCTAAGACCAGGAACAGAATAAATGACCGCAGCAAACGTCTCCACAACAGGGAGTAGGGTTGAGGTATCCAAGCAGCTTTGAGCTCTAGCTCCATCCTTTTAAATAGAAAGGACCCTGCGCTTGTTATCCGAGGCCCATCTCAATGTCCCCCTCCCTGAGAGGTTTGGAGGGAGACAGTGTAAGAGCCTTTGCTGTGTTGGCTCCTCGTCTGTGGAATGCTCTCCCCAGAGAGTCTCGCCTGGTGCCATCATTACATGTCTTAAACGCCAGGCAAACCCATTCTTCTTTAGACCGGCCTTCGTCATTAAATAATCTGTGGCCTGTTAAATGAGGGGAGGGGGAGAGAGAGACTGTTATTATGATTATTTTATTATTATGCTCTGTATTATGTTTTTATTATTATGCTGCATAAATTATCTTCTTAATATTGTACACTGCCCAGGGATTTTTGGATAAAGGGCAGCATATAAATAGAATAAGTAATAATAGTAATTGTAATTATACGCATGACAACAAACTAGTCTCTTGCTTGCCACCCCAACCATTCCTTCTACCCACCTGTGAGTAATCTTAGATTTTGAGTCAGTCACAATCGCTTCTTCCTCTTCTTGTTAAACAGATCTGCTCTCAGCGTTCGGCAGCTAAATCAAAGGACGGCAGCTCTGAAAAACGGTAATTCTTCCCCAGGAATGCTTAGTTCTCTGCAGTTTAGATTTCCTCGTGCAGGACTCAGTCTCAAGGTCATAATTTGGTTGCTGGGGATTCTATCCCTTCCTCTGTGAGAACAACAGTTAGTTGTCCCCCAACAATTAGTTAAAGGAAATCAAGTCCTATACCAGGCACCCCCAACCTTCAGCCCTCCAGATGTTTTGGACTACAATTCCCATCATCCCTGACCACTGGTCCTGTTAGCTAGGGATCATGGGAGTTGTAGGCCAAAACATCTGGAGGGCCGCAGGTTGGGGATGCCTGTCCTATACTGTAGCTGCCTGCTACATATTTAAGAGCAAGTCAAGTTTAGCCCTTAGCAGTAGGACGTGTCATTTTAAGGGATGAAGCTTAATTTGTGCAAATTTCTTCAGTGAGGGGTCTTAAAAATACATTTTTGGGTGTGAGGAATCCAAATCTGCTATTATTTTTGTGATCTGGACAACATTTAGCTTGTTAAGTATGTTTGATGAGGAAGCACGCAAACCGCTTTTGGAAAACCAAAGAATTTTAATTTTACTTTCTAAAAGAGTTAGGTAATGCTTGATAAATAACTAATAAATACTATAACTGCAAGTACTTGGTTTTTAAAAATGATTTCTATGTAATTTTTACAGACATTTTACTTACCAAACAAAACTAAATTATATTAATTTAGCCAAAATATATTTTGAATTCTCAAGGCGTGTCACGAATTTTCAACATCCCCTCATTTGGGGAATTTCAAAGTTGGAAAATTCAACACGCCCTGCCTTAGCAGCCTTTTGTCTTAAGACACACCTAAAACCCCATGTTTCTATACAGAGGTGTGCCAATGTCTTCCTTTTAAACTGGTCTAGTAATCAGTGTATCTTTGGTCATGTGTGTGCCAAATTTTGGATTTGTTGGTGGTCTGTAGTGGAGCTCCTGTTGTTCAATCCCAGCTCCTGCCCACCTAGCAGTTTGAAAGCACATCAAAGTGCAAGTAGATAAATAGGTACCACTCCGGCAGGAAGGTAAATGGCATTTCCTTGCGCTGCTCTGGTTTGCCAGAAGTGGCTTAGTCATGCTGGCCACAAACGCCGGCTCCCTCGGCCTATAGAGCGAGATGAACGCACAACCCCAGAGTCGTCCGCGGCTGGGGTACCTTTACCTTTTAGGTGCACTTTAGTCACTTCGGAGTAATTTTGCTACCATATGTTCAGGAAGGCAAGTAGAAGCATTATTGTCCATGCACCTATTGTAGTATGCATGGAAGCGCATTTCGGACATCCGCCTCAAAGTTCAGTGTGTGGCGGCAGGACCTACTGCCATTTGCATGTTCCTTGTGCATACAGAGAACAGCCCTAATAATTGAAAAAGGCTTTTGAGAGAAGGAGACAGAGAGATTCATGTCTCATTTTCAGGTGTTTCCAGTAACCAGGACAGCTTTATGCTACCAAAGTGAATCTCTCTCACATTAATGTGAAAAAGTACCTGAAACATTTGCGGAAGAAGTGTACAAATGCCAGTCTTTACATTTAAAAACCCGGACCTCAAATTTAAGAGGCGGGAATTTGTAAAGCATTGCACTGAGATTCAAAATTTTGTTTATTGCTCATTCATAAGGTATCTGTCAGGGATGCGGGTGGCGCTGTGGGTTAAACCACAGAGCCTAGGGCTTGCTGATCAGAAGGTTGGTGGTTTGAATCCCCGCAACGGGGTGAGCTCCCATTGCTTGGTCCCTGCTCCTGCCAACCTAGCAGTTCGAAAGCACATCAAAGTGCAAGTAGATAAATAGGTACCGCTCCGGCGGGAAGGTAAACGGTGTTTCCGTGTGCTGCTCTGGTTCGCCAGAAGCGGCGTAGTCCTGCTGGCCACATGACCCGGAAACTGTACGCCGGCTCCCTCGGCCAATAAAGCAAGATGAGCGCCGCAACCCCAGAGTCGGTCACGACTGGACCTAATGGTCAGGGGTCCCTTTACCTTTAAGGTATCTGCACACACCATCAAAAGGTCTTTTACATCTTCCTAGAACTAATACCAAGCACACACATTTATCTTTTTTTCTGTTTTACATTAAAGGACCTTTCTGGGCAGAAGGAAGAAAGGCGCAGACAGACAAGTAAGTCATCTCATTGGGCCTGAGAGATATGGGTCCCCGTTTCCTTCTGAACTAGGGATGCTTTGTGTGACCTTGGGAAAGCCAGCAGTTTGTGGACTACAACTCCCATCATCCCTAGCTAGCAGGACCAGTGATCAGGGATGATGGGAGTTGTAGTCCAGAAACAATGGGTGGCCCATGTTTGGGGAAACCTTGATCTGGTGTCAGTGAACAGCCAGGAGTCCTTTGGGAATGATGAAGGCAGCGATCTGCTGTTGTTTGTCCCCAAATCTGGCAATGAGAGATAATTACTGCCTCTCAAGATCCTGCCAGTTTCCGTTTCTTCCCGTTTCTCATTTTCCCAATCTTAACTTGAGTTTGCCCAATTTCTGCATCTGTTTGCAATAAAAAATAAATCAATCTGTATGCGTTATTTCAATGCAGTTTTCTGAAGAGAAGCACCTCAAGCCCATATTTGGCTAATAAAATCATGTTTGCACTATCCCTTTAATATATGCATATTCGTGGGAGAACCCCTCTGCGAAATATGAAGAATGCTAATTGTGTAGGATTGCTACATTTCAGTTGGCACATTGGTTTGGGGAGTGTGAATAAGGAAATTTCACATTGAAATGTGGACCACGCGATCATCTCCCCATTCTTACCTGTGCTGCAAATGTTGTTGGACTCCCATCAGCCACAGCCATCCTGGGTAATGGTCATGGATGATAGGAGTTGTATTAGCCTAACAACATTGGAGAGGTCAAGAGGCATGTTACCTCCGATCTTGATTCTGACAGTCCTCTCAAAGGGCTCCCTCGCTTTGTGACCCTTTCTCAAATCCCTTCTTCCTTCTCAGGGTTCTGTCGACAAGCCCCTTTGGCTCAAAGACATGTATCAGCCTCTGGATGACGCTCGGAGGAGGAGCATGATTGGTAAACTCCACGATGAAGAGACCTCGGATGAGGAAGATATATTCAACTGGGCCAAATCAAGGTAGGAACGAACAAGCTGCTGCGACCAGATTTGTATGACTTGCAGCTTGCTTCTTTCCCTTAAAACACACACACACACACATTTTTTGCTCTTATGGCTGCGGATGAAATCTGGGGAATGTGTGGGTGGATTGAGTCACCTTGAAAAATACTCGGAGTCGAGTGTGGATTTCATTCTTTATTCAGCTCAGAGTAGTGAGGAATGGAAGTTCCCCCGAAATGTCTGCTTTATAGACATTATTTACACAATGGAACCCATGTGATTGGCTAATTCTGGGATTCTCCTGTAGGCCAATCAGGTTGCGGATTCACTTCCACCCAGAATTGGATTGGGTGGCTCCTGCGGACCAATCAGACTGCTGCATTCTGAATCCTATTGTTCTAGGACCAATCAGACTGCTGCATTCTGAATCCCATTGTTCTAGGACCAATCAGACTGCTGCATTCTGGATCCTATTCAACTCAGTACATAACACACCTTTTTCGTCTTCTTACTTTCCTGGCAGCTGTGTAACCAGCAGCAGTTCAGCAGATGCACGTTTAATGGGAAAAGCTTCATTCTTTGCATTTTTGCCTGTTGCACAGCTGATTAAGGCACAGAGCCCTGCCTATCAATCAGGGAATACTGAATCAAGACTAGGAGACTTCAGCACTATGCAATGCTTAGATCAGGGAGATCCAGCCCATGAAGGCTCTGACAGGGTCCTAGAGTCCACCATCCTCCGTCCCAAAACTTATCTGGCGCTTTCTCGGCTTTGGGAAGGAGGTGGGAGGGTTCTAGGACCCTGCCAGAGGCTTGCGCTTCCTTCCCAAAACCCTACGCCTTGCCTTGCACAGCTGGCTTTGGGAAGGCGAGAGCTGGGCTGTGTGTCAAATTTTGGTCTTGCTCCCTGTCCCCAGAGTCAGAAGGCAGTGTGCGGCCCACGGGTTCTGTGGCAAAGTACTCTTGCAGCCCACTTGGTATGAAAAGTTGGACCACCCTGGCATAGATCCTTGTTCTCCCCACTTGCCCCAGGCTTGCAGAAGTGACAAGGTTCAGAAACTTCAGCTGGTGCAGAATTCAGCGGCCAGGTTGCTCACCGGAGCAAGATGTTTGAGCATATTACACCGATCCTGGTCCAGCTGCACTGGCTACTGATTAGTTTCTGGGCCCATTTCAAAGTGCTGGTTTTGACCTATAAGGCCTTAAATGGCTCAGAGCCACAATATCTCAAAGACTACCTCTTGCCATATGAACCTGCCCGGACCCTGAGATCATCTTCTGAGGCCCTCCTTTGTGTGCCCCCTCCTTGAGAGGTTCAGAGGGTGGCAACACAAGAACAGGCCTTCTCTGCAGTGGCTCCCCGTCTGTGGAATGCTCTCCCCAGGGAAGTTCGCCTGGCACCTTCACTATACACCTTTAGGCACCAGGCAAAAACGTTCCTTTTTAACCAGGCGATAAGGCGATATAGAAAGAAAATAGATAGATAGATAGATAGATAGATAGATAGATAGATAGATAGATAGATAGATAGATTAGGTGCAGTAAAGAAATACATACATGCCAAACAGCCTCATTTGCACAATTTCATTTTCTGCTTTAAACCAAATCCCGGCTGTGAGAAGTGAACCATCGCAGGCCAAATTTGCGTAGTGCCACTTTGCAGATCCACCAGCATTTTAAACATTCACCCAGAGCAGGGGTGCCCAAACTTTTTTCAAAGAGGGTCAGATTTGATGAAGTGAACATGCGTGAGGACCGACCAAACTTGTTGAACCTTTATAAGGATTGAAGTTGTTGAGGTTTGGTTTTTTAAAGGATTTAGCCCAAGGACATATACAGTGGTTCCTCTGGTTGTGAATGGGATCCGTTCCGGAGGCCTGTTCGCAACATAAAAAAACGCACACGCGGATTGCGATTCACTGCTTCTGCACGTGCGCGTGATGTCATTTTGCGCTCTGCGCATGCGTGAGCGGCGAAACCCGGAAGTAACCCTTTCTGGTACTTCCGGGTCACCGTGGGACGTAACATGAAAGAACGTAACATGAAGCGGATGTAACATGAGGTATGACTGTACTGCCATGGGGGCCGGATTAAATTGACCAGACTTTGGACGTGCCTGACCCAGAGTCTTAACTCAAACTAGATCTAGACGCATCAAAGAAGCAATTCTGTTAGAAATGCATTGAAAACTTCACAGAGAAATCCCGTTGATGAAAATTGGACTCCTCTGCGCCAATGTAGCCGACTTCTAACTGCTAAGCTTCAAAACCCTTCAGGCTTGACTGCCTTTCAACCTAACCTCTGCTCTTCTCTGTTTTCCAGGGAACCACCCCCTGTGGAAAAGCCCAGTTCAGTAAAAGTGTAAGTACCTACCCCCTTGCAGTACGACTCTGGGCTGTTAGTTATGCCCTAGGTTTAAAAATTGGGGTTCGTCCGGGATGCAACCTGCTGCTACAGAGTTAAGTTTGTGCTTTTGCTGATTTGCAAAGCAAGAGATGATGCGAAAATTCTCTCTTTAAGCTTTATATTCCGAAAAGTATTCTGCTTCCTAACGGAATACGTATCTGGAAAGGGGAATAATCTCACACTCCAGTCCTCAGCCCTGCTAAACCAAATCAGTCTCCAAGGCTCTCCGGTTGTTTAGCAAGGAAAGGGAAGTTAGGCTAGTACTAGCTAGTTTTCTCCAATCGGCTTTTGCTATTTGGGGCTTTGGCAAGGCAAGATCTGAAGCCCCACTTAAAGTGAAACAGAGGACCCCTTCAGACATCTTATATACTGCACATTCATGCCTCAACCAGAGCCAGGGCCTTTTCAACACTGGCTCCGGCCTGGTGGAACGCTCTGTCTCATGAGACCAGGGCCCTGCAGAATCTGATTTCTTTCCGCAGAGCCTGTAAGACGGAGTTGTTCCGCCCGGCCTTTGGCTTGGAATCAATTTGATTCCCTCCCCCTCTATCTTTTTTCCTTTCTCCTCCTGTGATGGAACTCCTATTTGGGGACTTCCCTGGCTTTTTTCTGGCCCATGTAGGACCAGTCTGGATAGTTAGCCCTGGTGAAGACCTGACGTTTTCATCCCCCCAAAAGTTTTTGATTTGACTTTCCATTGAAATGAGGCTGCATTTTAATGTTTTCATGTTGTATTTTAATCTTGTTTTTAAGTTGTATTTCAATCAATTTGTTTTTATATCGGTTGTTAGCCGCCCTGAGCCTGGTCTTGGCTGGGGAGGGCGGGGTATAAATAAATTTTATTACTATTATTATTAATTATTATTATTATTAGTGCTCATGATGCTATTGGGGGTCATACACTAACTCGCATTCAATACCGTTCGTGCTTTCAAAAGTTTTTTGGGTATTAACACTGCTTCATTTCCAGGCAATGCCTATCCTGTAACTTCCTGGTGAAATCCCCTAGCTTTTTACACCACAGAAGTTCTGGTTTGCTTTTGTCCTGCTTTTTTTGTGGTGCTTCAGCCCCTCTGGACAAACATAACGTGGTAGTTTGTGGGAAGCATCGCAAAACAAACTAAAGCAGAATACATCCAGCCTGACACACTACTATTGTGTCAAGAACTTGTTGCACGATACACCTACAATGTTTTTTTTTAAAAAATGCAACCCTATTCATGAAGGCTACTCGGAAGTAAGCTCCGTTGTGTTCAAAGGGAATTGCTCCTAGGTAATTGGGTTTGGGTTGGCATAATAACGTATTTTTCGCTCCATTTTTCGCTCCAAAAATTAAGGGGGAATGTGTGTGCGTCTTATGGAACGAATGCAGGCTCCTTGGCTTCAGCAATAGCAACGCGAAACCTCCGAAGCGCAGAGGGAGCGCTCCCTCCGGGCTCCGGGGGCTACGCGTTGTTTTCGCTGAAGCCTGGAGAGCAAGAGGGGTCGGTGCGCACCGACCCCTCTTGCTCTCCAGGTTTCAAAGATAGCTGCCTGAGCCCGGGCGCAGCGGGAACTCCCGCTGCGCTCCGGAGGCTTCGGGTTGCCTTCACTGAAGGTAAAGGCAGTGTGGGAGAGGGAGAGCTGCGCAGTACCCCTTCAGCTAAGCGTGAGGAGAAATGGAAGGGACTCCATTTCTCCTGCCGCTTCGCTGAAGGGGCGCTGCGCAGAGAGGGGGAGAATTTATTTTTCTTATTCTCCCCCTCTAAAACAAGGTGTGTCCTATGGTCGGGTGCGTCCTATAGAGCGAAAAATACGGTACTTTCCCCTGTGCCCAATTTCACAACACACCTATCTAGGACAGCTCATGTCATGAGCAGCTTCAAATAAAATGCTATATTTGGAGTCGGCTTTTTATGTGATGACCAGGAGGAGAGTGAAGGGAACGCAATCCCTGAGTGCAATCGACTTCCCTTAACCTCTGTTTTTCTTGCTTTGACAGAGTTGAAGAGCCCCCTGTTAAAAAGGCCAGTTCAAAGAAACTGTGAGTATTATTATGCAACCGCAAAATTATCAGCCTTGGCTCTAACTTTTTCCTCTTGCAGCTAGGCATTAGGATACAACCTGGAGGGTTGGCAGCTCCACCAGCAAGACGTCTGAGTTGCTTGGTATCCGAATCATATTTAAGCAGATCTGTTGCGCTCCTGGTCTACTGCCCCCTGCACAACATCCGAATGTAGGGTATTCTGCGTCCCAGTGTATTTAAGGACCTGTCCACACCAGAGCAAAAAGTGGACAACCCCTCCCCAGGTTGTCCCAAATCTTTTCCCCTTTGAATGTGAGTTGTTGTTGTTTATCCTGGCTGTTTCAGACTTTCCAGGTATAAAGGGGGAAAGATTTGGGACAACACTGGTATGGGAAAGTCATTGTGTGGGTGTCCCTAGATTAATGGAGAGAGAGGTTGGTGCAAATCAACATTTTTGCCCTGATTTTAGACTCTTGCCTGAAATCCTGAAGAGATGCTGCTTTTCGAAGAACCCCACGTTCCACACTGAAGTATTCCATGTTCTTCTCCTTCTTTCCCCCCTTTCTCAATTCCCTCTGCTTCCTCTGTTGTCTCCTTTGTGTCCGTTATAGATTGTAAGTTCCCTGGGGCAGAGGCCTGCCCCTCTCATTCCCAGCAATGCACCACGCGCATGGAAGGTGTTACTGCATTCACCATCATAACGAAATATGCTGCCTCGGCACATGGGGGTTCCATTAGGTTCCAATGCCTGGTGGCCACTGATTGATACTGCCACGAATCTGCCCTTTGAAATCCACTTGAGCCAGCGGCTAACATAGCATGTCGCAGCAGTGAATTCCATGAGTTAATTCCATGCCGTGCGACGAAGAAGCACTTTCTTTCGTTGGCCCTGAATCTTATGCCAATCGATTGATGCAGCTCTTCAACAGACTAGATCTATGTGGTGTGGGTGTATAATGGAACCAAGCTAAAGTTGGTTCTCTCCCCCCCGCCGCCCCAGTTCCTTATTCCAACTGAAATATACTCAGAGTCGAGAGTGGATTTCATGCTCTTTATTCAGCTCATAGTGGTGAGGAGGAATGGAAGTTCCTCCAGAATGTCTGCTTTATATACATTATTTACACAATGGGCCCCACATGATTGGCTAATTCCGGGATTCACCTGTAGGCCAATCTGGTTGCGGATTCACTTCCACCTGGAGCTGGATTGGGTGGCTCCTGCGGACCAATCAGACTGCTGCATTCTGGACCCTATTGTTCTAGGACCAATCAGACTGCTACATTCTGAATCCTATTGTTCTAGGACCAATCAGACTGCTGCATTCTGGACCCTATTGTTCTAGGACCAATCAGACTGCTGCATTCTGAATCCTATTGTTCTAGGACCAATCAGACTGCTGCCTTTTGGATCCTATTCAACTCAGTACATAACACCAACACTAAAGTTTGCATCCTTCTGCGCTCCAAAACAAGCATGGGGCGACCCCATATCACAGACCTCCACGAGTCTCTTTGAGAGCACTCTCTCCAGCCCAAAGCACTCCCTAAAATAAGCTTTGATGTATCCCAAATGATACATCTCAACAGTCAGGAGATGCTTCCATATGTGAAAACGTGTAGATCAGGTCCAGACCACTGCTTCATTCCTGTGCAAGTCTCAGATCTGCTGCCCGCACACCAACAACTGCTAAAGAAGACTGTATCAGTGAATAAGCAGATGGATGAGGCATTATCCCAAACGACATATCCACACCATCTGGAGGCTGTCTGTCTCCTACCAAATGGCCTCACCTGTCTGGTCCAGTGCATAATTGCCCCCAAGTCATTCTCAGGCATGCTGTACCTGTGCCAATCCATTTTTCAATACAGGTAGAAACCAAAAACAGACAGGGGATTTATGCCAAAGCGTTTTTAATAACTGAACGAGGATCTGGGTGCTTGCCCATCCAGTGACCTGTATTGGCTTACACAAAAACAAAAAGATAAGGCCGTAGGTTATGCTAGCTGGTCTTATTCAGAGCAGTCTCTGCTGCGTTGGAGTTTGCCATTTGAGTTGATCCAAAGCTTATTTTGGGGGGCACGCATCTCGATCCTTATTAATTTGCATGTGACGCAGGCTGCTGTGTTGTATATGGAATCAGCCTTGTGGGGAAAGTTTCCTTGAAGGACAGTCAAACCTCGGTTCCCGAACACCTCCATTGTCGTATGTTTTGGCTCCTGAACACTGAAAACCCAGAAGTAAATGCTCTGGTTTTCAAATGTTTTTCGGAAGCAGAACATCCGACGCGGCTTCTGCTTGAGTACAATAAGCTCTTGCAACCGCCATACCTCAGCTGTCGAACGTTTCGGAAGTCAAACAGTCTTCTGGAACGGATTACGTTTGACAACCAAGGTTTGACTGTACAATTGTACCTTGGGTCCTGAACGCCTTGCAAGTTGAACAAAGGCCACAAACCTGTTCTGGTTTGCAAACTATTTTTGGAAGCCGAACATCCGACAGGGCTTCCGCGGCTTCCGATTGGCTGCAGGAGCTTCCTGCAGCCAATCAGAAGCAGCGCTTTGGTTTCCAAACATTTTGGAAGTCGAACGGACTTCTAGAACGGATTCTGTTCAACTTCCAAGGTACGACTGTATCAGAAGATGCATAGGATGTCTCAGGCGAAAGAGGCAATGGTTGCTTAGGTTATTGAATTAATCAAAGCATCTTGCAGTACCAAAAACAAGTAAGCCATATTGAGGAAGGAAGATGGCCTAGATGCAGCAGACCCTCTTTAACATCTCCTTTTTAACTCTTAATCAGGGCGCCAGAACCCCCACCTCCAGCTCCGAAGCCAGAGTAAGTAACTAGCAAATGTTTGGGTTTTTTAAAAATCTAATTTTACAGCTGGTCTGTAAAGCAGTCTGCTAGAGGAAAGGCTCGCCAGATTATATGTTCTAAAAAGACATCAGATATGCACATCCCCCACAAACTTAATACAGGATGCTTTGCGTGGCACTCTAGCACATTTTCTTCTTCCTAAAAAAAGGGGGGGGAGAATAAGAGAAGGGATCTGTTCTCCAAAAAACATAGGAAGAAAAGAACTTAATCTGTAAAGAGGCAAAGGGGGGGTTGCTTTGAGTCCCCCGCTCCCAAGTTTCTAGGACGGGATATCTCAGTGGCGAAAATCTACTGCTCCTGAACAGCCTTCAGTTTTTAAGACCAGTTTAGATTAGATAATCAGATTAGGGAAGGGAAGAGGGTCCAGTGTTCAAAATTCCCATTGTTCTAGGTGCGTTTTGCGACAGGGAATTTCATTAGTGTGAGCAGTTTCTGAGCTCCGGGCGCAGTGCTGCGCCTAAGATTTCAGATTAAAACTGCAGAGGGGAAGGAAAGGAGGACCTTTTTCAGCCTCCTCACTTCCAGCTACTCTCTGAAGACTGGAGAAGAGACCCCCTTAAGAATATTAGGAGGGTGGGCAGGGGAAGGACTAGACCCATGTGAAAAATGAACATAATATTTTAGCTGCAGTTCATTTATTTTCAGCTTTGTGTTCTTGCTATAAAAAAAGAGCACCTAGGCATTCCGTTGTTGTGCCCATAACCTAGGTTTAAGGGGCCATTTAAGCTCCTAGCTTTTATATCTCTGTTTCTAACACTGAGAGGGTCAATCTGAAAGTGCTCAGAGATGTGGGTTATTTTGCAGCACTCAGTTTGCTTCAAGCTGCAAGGCAACAGCAACTCTGCTTCCACACTTTGGGAATTAGGAGTGTCCAGAAGCAAAAAGAGGACAAGGCTTCTAGCTATGCAGAAGAGGGGATTTCAGCAAGGGTCGCGTTGCTGTCTGAAATTTTGCTCTGTTGCATAACCTTGTCCCCTTTTCCTCTGCCTACAGTGCTTGGAATCCAAAAGTTGCCCTTTTCCACTGCCCCAAATGTGGCCATGAACATGACATGGAGTAAAAGCACACACAGCCGCAATTTAGGAGAGGGAGGTGTTAAGTTGTGGGTGAACATATCAGACGACACAGCGATTCTTCCAACAGCTCTTCTTTATTCAGAGGCCAGAACAGAACTGAACTGAAGGGCTCAGTCAGCCTGCTTATATAGAGCTCCAGTACAACGTTACTGTAGCAACTTTCTAAAACTATCCAATCACTGAACGTCACTTTCGATCCTTCATTTGCATAACTATCTACAGTATCCCCCTGCTAAAACTATCCAATCACTGAGCGTCACTTTCGATCCTTCATTTGCATAACTATCTCAGTATCCCCCTGCTGGCCCAGGGTGAGAACTTCAGTACATAACAGGAGGGAAGGAAGGGAGGGAGGGAGGGATGTATTGATCAGTTGCTGTGACGTAACTCCTGCTTTTCTCTCTTGCTCATCAGGTCTTCAGGAGGAGAAGACGATAGTGGGTCAAAGAAACCGTAAGTAGCGCCAGAGTCAGTTCCTTCTTCCATTCAAACCAGAGGTGGGCAAACCTCAAGCCCAGGGGCCAGATATCTGGCCCTTGGGATTCTTGGTTCTCTGGATGGAGGACAGAGAGGATTGTGTGAGTGCAGGCAGAAACTCACCTACTTTGCAAACCTTGCACTTATTGCTTTTCCTACTCTTTCTCTGACCTGACCCAGCGCTGCCATATGTGCCCCAAAGGTTGCTTTCAATCAGATATAAGTTTTCCCACCCCTCCTTCAGATTGTTTGATTTTTTGAGCTCGGCTACATAATGCATCCTATTGCAGATTCACGATCTTCAAAGCGCAGATAATTGTGGAAAGGTTTTCCTACCTTATTAATGTAGTTATTGTTAGGAACAAAATGAAACAACATGCATTACTGGAAAAGGAGAAAGGAACTGAGCTGTGGAGGAAAGAAAATGGTGGAGGGGTTGGGGAGTAAGTTGTGGAGCAGAAGCAGTCCTGGGTGGCATTTGATGGATATATTTTTTTCATTTAAAGTAGAGGCTCAGAAATCGAAACATGCATTTGCTTCATAATATCTGGAGAAGGTGATTTCTTCCCGCCCGGTCCCCTTCCTTTGATCAACAGCCATTCCCATTGGCTTTCCGTCTTTTATTCTGTTTGGCATGAAGCCTTTGTCTTTCTGGGGCTGTAGCGCTATGCAAAGGAACAATTTCTTTCCCGTCGCATTTTCACGCACATGACATGTTTCTGGCAGAATTGCATTCTGTGGCTTCTTTGCAAATCAGACACTGGCTGCTGTGCAACTCTCTCTAAGCAAACTGGAGGCTTCTTTCCATTTTTGTTTTAGGTTTTGTTTTTAAACTGGATCTCCAGTATATATTTGTTTAAAGACAAGTCAGGAGAACCACTGGAAACTTAAAACCTAGAAACAAGCAGGGGGGGGGGGAGTTGGAAGTGTTCAGAAAGAGGCTTCCCATCCCAGATTTCTTGTGTTTCCCACTCTCTGATCGAGCAGGTTTTGCAAGTGTGTGTACGTGTGCATGCATTAGGCAATACAAAAACCTGCAAAACCTGTTTGGCTAGAGGCAAAAATGTGCACACATTCTGAGCAGCAGCACCAGTTTCAAACTACCTGCCTTCATCTCTCTGAAAATAACTATTCTCCATCTCTAGTTCCGAAATTATAAAAGTCGTGTGGTAGGGAAAGGAGTTTTCCCTGGGTATCTCTTCCTCTTAAGACTTGTTTAGGAATACAGGGTATTTGCATGGCCGTAGCCATGATTTTTGTTGGGGAGAGCAGCCCAAAGTTGTTGCCCCATAAATTTGTTGAGCGTTTTTGGGGGGAATACCCCCTAGGAGCATGCAGGGGGCAGGCTTTGGTTGTGGGGGGAGACTTCTGCTGGAGGGAGACAGAACCTCAGTTAATCAGTACTTCTCAATAATACCCATGGGTATTTGTAACAAAGCTGTATGTGGCTAAAGACAGTGATTCCTGTAATGGTACTCGCTAACAGTGTGGAATACTGTATTGCCAGCAGTCATTTTGTGCTGAGACACCTGCAGCCTGTTTATCATTTGTTCTCCAAAGCTCTTCCCATTCAGCCATCATTACTGGACGTCCAATGTCCTGTGCCCATCTAATCACTGTTGCCTTAACCTCCTCCACCTTAACTTCCCATTCCAGGAGGAGTCGATGTATTCTCGAAATTACCCTGATTTTATTATTTATTAATTCTGTTTCGAGGCTGATTATCAAATCCAATCTTTTTATCTTGTTTAAACATTTCGTATATTTGATGGTATTCCAACCAACCAGCCTGTTTATCAAGATATAAGTACCTGCACCTTTTTTCCTCTCTTTTCTTTTTTACCAAAAAAAAGTACTGGCTAAGGGGGGTGGGGTGGAATCAGTACTATTTTTTTTTTTAGCATATGAATCGGTTTTCCTCTATCAGATCTAGGTTTAGATCTCCTCAGGTGGCCAGAGATCTCTTTTAGGAAGTCCGTCTCGGAGGCATTGGGTAGTGTTTGTATTTGCTTGTTATATTTGCTTGTTCTTTTCTTTCTGCACACTTATTAGCTCTTTTAACTACAAATGGGGGAGATTTAGACTCCTTCCCCTGTATATATCAGCAGCTAGTGCCCCCTGGGACCAAATCCAGGGACAAGAATGAGGAAGTGATAGGACTTGCTTAGGATTTCTGCTTCCTCCAAGAGGTCCTTGTTGTAAACATGGTTGCCAGCCAACCAAAGCCTACTTCCACTTAACCTTCACTAAAAGCAACACATACATATATGCACAGAACATCAACCCCCAGGTGGTTGTATAATTTGCATTCCCACCCCCCACCCCGCCAGAACCTGTTCCTAAGTTTAAGCTAAAATATTCCTGCTCTACAAACACTAATCTATTATCTCTGCCCAAGTTTGCCAACAAAGGTCTTGCAACAGCATCAATAATGCCACCTTAGGAGGCTGTGTTTAGGTACTGCAAGATGCCTGGTGTATACACCTGCAGCATCATAAACTAAACTAGCAGGCCAGAATTGGTTCGTGCTGGCAAATCACAGGAAAAGATTGCAGGGAACCGAGCAAAGAAGCGGGACCAGTTTGGACCATTTCCGTAGGTAGGCTAGATGTGGTCTGTGGCCTGCCTGTTGCAGAACAGGTGTGTCTATATGGAAATGTGCATCCCGATCCCATTCATGTTGTTTCAAAGGTATGTTCCAATGGGACTTGCTCTTAAGTGAGCATACACAGGATTGAGATATGACTATGTCCTCTGGGTAGCTCCAACAAGAAAGCATTGGTTCCACTGCAGATTGCAGACCTTTTTTCTCTTTTTGTACCAGATTGCATGGGTCTCTTAGCCCCTGCCACATACAGCTGCTACCTTATTATTATTATTTTTATGGCAAGGCTTCGTACACCTTTAATAACTATACTGAATTTCTGCATGCCACCAGCTGTTAAATGTACAGCCCGCCCCTCCAAAAGGAGATAAGGAGAGTTTTAGTGAAATTACTGCCTTCTACCTAACAGTGAAGGGTTCACCTACTACGGGGTCCTTGTTTCTTATCTGTGGTCCTAATCTCCCAGCTGTACAGTGACATTGGGTGATGGTGCTAGGATGTGTCTGGTGGGCAGGCAATATAGAGTGGCGAAGAAGCAGTCCCAATTTCAGTGGTGGTGATCAGGATAAGGTATAGCTGAGGTCCCGTGCCTGACCACCATCTGGGCTGAAGGTCTAAATCTTTTGTCCCTGTCCCTGGCTCAGCCTTTCCTCTCCTCCAGATTTTACTGAAGCACGGAGCCCTCTGGTTTGGCGGTGCTCTTATTGAATGCCTGGTTAGTCCATAACAAGGCTGTGGTTTACCCATCACGGAGTTACAATTTCCAGCAACCCTTAGCAAACTGCGGTTCCCATAATTCTTTGGAAGACTGTGCTCTGAATGAGCTTTGAAGGTGTTGTACAGAGCCTCAGAATACCGTATTTTTTGCTCTATAAGACTCACTGTTTCCCTCCTAAAAAGTAAGGGGAAATGTGTGTGCATCTTATGGAGCGAATGCAGGCTGCGCAGCTATCCCGGAAGCCAGAACAGCAAGAGGGATTGCTGCTTTCGCTGCGCAGCGATCCCTCTTGCTGCTCTGGCTTCTGAGATTCAGAATATTTTTTTTCTTGTTTTCCTCCTCCAAAAACTAGGTGCGTCTTGTGGTCTGGTGCGTCTTATAGAGCGAAAAATACGGTAATTCTTGTGTTGACAATGTGCCCAGGAGAGCTCGGGACAAAGGCCACCATCTTGTTCACACCAGCCAGATGCTGATGCGAAACTCGCTAGCGGGTCCTGAGTTCAGTTGTGCCCTCTCCACTTCTGATTCCCAGCGCTGGTGTTCAGAAGCACAGCTTCTGCGATGCCAGAAATTGTAGGCATCCGTCTTTCAAAAGGGGAATCGAAAAAGGGAAACAGCACTACAGAACAAAAAGGCAGTTCCCAGTTCTTAGTCTGCCGCAGCAGTGGCACTGGGAAGAAAGTTTGCAACACTCGACGGAGTAGAATCCAGTTCAACTGGTTCAATTTTAACCTCGCCTTCCCTTTTCATTTGCAGGAGTTCAGCTGAAGAAGGCGAAGGGGATGAAGAGGAGGATGAATGATTGTCCTTTTGTGAATATTGCTGTATATTATCTAGAGCACTTTATAAAGTACTATTGTTGTTTATAAGGAATACTATTAAATGCATTCCTCTGAAAGGTACCCTTTTCGTTAGCTAACATTTTTTGTTATCTCATGTTTAGCACTCATACAAGCCAGGGGGAGTTCAAAGCAGTTCACATTTACGTCTGTAAAATAACTGTATCCCACTTCACAGCCTCTCACGAAGCTCCCAAACCTACTTACAAAAGACCCCAGGAATAAAACTAATACCAGGCAGCACAGATATAACATTGGGTGCATGTAACACCAGGATTAAAAGGGACGCGGGTAGCGCTGTGGGTTAAACTACAGAGCCTAGGACTTGCCAATCAGAAGGTCGGCAGTTCGAATCCCCGCGACGGGGTGAGCTCCCGTTGCTCGGTCCCAGCGCCTGCCAACCTAGCAGTTCAAAAGCACGTCAAAGTGCAAGTAGATAACTAGGTACCGCTCCAGCGGGAAGGCAAACGGCATTTCCGTGTGCTGCTCTGGTTCGCCAGAAGCGGCTTAGTCATGCTGGCCACATGACCCGGAAGCTGTACGCCGGCTCCCTAGGCCAATAAAGCGAGATGAGCGCCGCAACCCCAGAGTCAGCCACGACTGGACCTAATGGTCAGGGGTCCCTTTACCTTTATCTTTTAAGACCAGGATTATTCAGACAACTGCTCCTGGCCTCAACGCTTTGTGGTTTCAGATGCCACCTGCTAGCCAGCAACTCCCACTAAGGACCTCTGAAGCAAGGGAGTGATTATGATGGAGGCAACTCTTCCCTTGCTGACAGTAGGCCATCGCCAGCTCTCTTGGGGATCTTTACAACAACTCTGTAATCCTCGCCATGGTTACTGTCCTCATATTGCAGATATCAAGATATGATGCCAAGAGATTTCAGCTTTGCCTACGTCCACAGTGAATTCATCCTACAAGTGAAATCTGAACCAAGAAAATATTAACTGAAGAGGGGGGGGAAGGGGTAGTTTAGCCTCACAATTCCAGATTAAAGCATGAAAGGTTGCTGGAAAAAGGGGAAAGGCATTCTGTGTATGGGCCAGAGTACTCTTTCTCATTTACCGTATTTTTTGCTCTATAAGACTCACCTTTTCCATCCTAAAAAGTAAGGGGAAAATGTGTGTGCGTCTTATGGAGCGAATGCAGGCTGCGTAGCTATCCCAGAAGCCAGAACAGCAAGAGGGATTGCTGCTTTCACTGCGCAGCGATCCCTCTTGCTGTTCTGTCTTCTGAGATTCAGAATATTTTTTTTCTTGTTTTCCTCCTCCAAAAACTATGTGCGTCTTGTGGTCTGGTGCGTCTTATACAGCGAAAAATACGGTACTTATTTACTTGTATATTGCAGGTCTATATGCAGGAAGTGAGAACTAGTTCTGGAGCGCCCAAGTGAGTCCTGGTTCAAATTTGAGTCCTATACTCTGCGCATGGTCAGAGGGGCTCCCCCCTCCCCAGTTCCATGTGACCTCCATTGCTGAAAACCATTCCCCAACCAAAGCCCTAGGTAAAGGTAAAGGGACTCCTGACCGTTAGGTCCAGTCGTGGCCGACTCTGGGGTTGCGGTGCTCATCTCGCTTTATTGGCTGAGGGAGCCGGCATACAGCTTCTGGGTCATGTGGCCAGCATGACTAAGCCGCTTCTGGCGAACCAGAGCAGCGCATGGAAACGCCGTTTACCTTCCCGCCAGAGCGGTACCTATTTATCTACTTACACTTTGACGTGCTTTCAAACTGCTAGGTTGGCAGGAGCAGGGACCGAGCAACAGGAGCTCACCCCGTTGTGGGGATTTGAACCACAGACCTTCTGATCAGCAAGCCCTCGGCTCTGTGGCTTAACCCACAGCGCCACCCGCTTCCCCGATAGTATTATTTTAGGATCCCACATTTTCCTACCTGAAAGCTACCAGTTCCCAGGCAGAGACATGCTGCAGGGAGCAAGGAAACATCTCTTTCTGGTCTGTTTTAAGAATGCCTGCATTTTCCCCACGCTCTGCTATGCTCTTCCCTTCTTTACTACATCTAAGCTTTCTCAGGGGGAGGAGCTTGTTCAGGGTATTGCCCGCTTTCAGCCAGTGAAATCCCAGAATGGGTGTGTCTGCCAATCTCCGAGCGCAGGCAGCTTTGAGTAGGCGGGACCCAAGCGCGGAAGGGGAAAAAAAGTAGTCCTGGTGGCCGGCAGGGGGCGCAAAGGAAAGACCCGCCTCTGTTTTCCGCTCCTGTCCTATCAGATCCTTTGCTCTGCCCATTCCTCAATATAGAATGTAGAGATAAAAGAAGAGTGGCGCGCCTCGCACAGGGAGGTGATTTCTGAGCTCGCATTTTGAAATCCTTTAATAGCGTATTTTGGTTTCCCTGTGCACAAATAGAAAGATCTTATTAGCCATAGAAACCGACGGCAAAATTCAGGCTTGTGCAATAGCAGCCTGAAATGAAATGAAATGAAACATTTAAAAATTATATAAAATTATAAAAAATGAATTATAAAATAAAAGGGAGACTGGTTCCTTTTTCCCCAGCTGGTGTATGTCGATTTCTGAGGTTTTAAACATTAAACACAACATGCTTTCCCAACATAACGGCAGTCTATTATCCTCATATAGTTAGCTGAGCTGAGAAAGTGGCTTAAGAACGCAGAAAAAGGCTTCTTATCCGGAGTCCATCTTTCTCGAGAGTCAGCAATTTCTACCTGCCAACTGGTGGCTGCTCACCAGGTTTTCACGCAAGGAACCATCCCGGCTCTACCTTTAGGTACCAGGGATACAGGACCAGCGCAGGACATTTTGGCACCTGCGACAAACCACAAAGCGGTACACACATCCCAACTAGGGAGGAAGGGATGAGTGAAGGTTTCGCATCGGGAACAAAAGGAGGAACAAAAGATCGGCATCAGGAACAAATCAAATCCCAACAGCTGAAGTGGGAATCAAAGGATGTCATAAAGGGAAAGGGGGTCCTGCTGTGAATGAGGCCAGACAGGACACCCCAAAGGGCATTGGTCTGACAGAGAACCAGGCAGAGGGCCTTCTCGGTAGTGACACCCACCCTGTGGAATACCCTCCCATCAGATGTCAAGGAAAAAAACAACTACAGTGGTACCTTGAGTTACATACACTTCAGGTTACCGACGCTTCAGGTTACAGACTCCGCTAACCCAGAAATAGTACCTCGGGTTAAGAACTTTGCTTCAGGATGAGAACAGAAATCGTGCTCTGGTCGTGCGGCGTCAGTGGGAGGCCCCATTAGCTAAAGTGGTGCTTCAGGTTAAGAACAGTTTCAGGTTAAGAACGGACCTCCGGGATGAATTAAGTTCTGTATCTGACTTTTAGAATACATCTGAAGGCAGCCCTGTTTAGGGAAGTTTTTAATGTTTGATGTTCTATGGCTTTTTTATTCTGTTGGGAGCCACCCAGAGTGGCTCGGGAAACCCAGCCAGATTGGTGGGGTAAAAATAAATTATTATTATTATCATTATTATCATTATTATTATTATTCTGAACTACAGGCCCAAAGGAGGGCCTGACTGAGTGGTCTGATACAGGGATTTCATAGAAGGATGTTGGAAACGCTGGAAGAACCCATTCTGATGTTTTATTAAAGAAAGGTGTCGACTTATAACACAGAGCCTGTCTGCCCTTACAGACAGACGCAGGGCAGACACCTCAATAGTGAGAGGTTGTCACGGCTTGTCTGCAAAGTGCTAATACGTTAAGTGTTGCTTATACCGTACAGAAGATGGCGTATTTCAGTTTGGCCATAACTTCCCATCCATCACTTGTCCCATGGGGGCATAAGGAACAACTATCTGAAAGGGGAAAAGAAAGCTCCCCTCTGAAAACCCAGCATCCTGAGGCCCACGGATAAGCACAGAATCAAAGCAAACCAATTAGCATATAACAAAGCAAGTGAGCTCGTTCTTGTAACAACCGTCTATTAATTGTAGGGTTATATTGTGTAGTAAACAAAAATCTGCCCTTATTCCCTTATGGGGGACACAAGAACCCTTATAGAGTCCTTTGTAGGTTCTCTGTTGGTAGGAGAAAATAACAGAGGCCAACCAGAGAATATTGAGAAGCAAAGCAGCTAGTAAGCCTGATCTTTATTGAACTGTTGCAACAGGGTGCTCCCCTCACACACAGGAAAGGAGGAGGACCCAGAACCAAGGTGTGCCTGCCCTTATATAAAGGTAAAGGGACCCCTGACCATTAGGTCCAGTCGTGACCGACTCTGGGGTTGCGGCGCTCATCTCACTTTATTGGCCGAGGGAGCCGACGTACAGCAAACCAGAGCAGCGCACAGAAACGCCGTTTACCTTCCCGCCGGAGCAGTACCTACAGTGGTACCTCAGGTTAAGTACTTAATTCGTTCCGGAGGTCTGCTCTTAACCTGAAACTGTTCTTAACCTGAAGCACCACTTTAGCTAATGGGGCCTCCTGCTGCCGCCGTGCCACTGGAGCACGATTTCTGTTCTCATCCTGAAGCAAAGTTCTTAACCTGAAGCACTATTTCTGGGTTAGCGGAGTCCGTAACCTGAAGCGTATGTAACCTGAGGTACCACTGTATTTATCTACTTGCACTTTGACATGCTTTCGAACTGCTAGGTTGGCCGGAGCAGGGACCGAGCAACAGGAGCTCACCACGTCATGGGGATTCGAACCACCGACCTTCTGATTGGCAAGCCCTAGGCTCTGTGGTTTAACCCACTGTGCCACCCACGTAGACATTTTAAATTCCCTGCCCTGGCGCTCGAGACCACCCCTCCATACATCATACATACATCACAGAAGGGGTGTAATCCAAGACCACCCCCCACAAACATCATACCTACATCACAGAAAAGGTGGTCTACAACAGAAATGTGAATGTTGTTGTTTTTCCTGTCTGTCAGGTTATCTGATCATGCCTTATCTGATTGCCTTTCCTGGTAGTCTGCCCATTCCTTTGAAATGGTGATTACCCAATTCCTGAGACAATGGGAAGGCTCAGTTGGGGAGTCAAAATGGTTTCAGGGCGGTCCTCCCGTGCTGCTCCAGACATGTGGTCCACATATCTATGTACGTGCTT